TACCACTACGTGCTGTGGTGGGCTGGTAGTGGGCCAACAAGTGGCCTCCGATCCGATCCCTCCGTGCCCACGCTCGCGCGAGCCCTGTGTTTTTGTCTGCGAGACAAGGAGCGTGCGCGCGGCGCGGCGGCCTGTGCGTTCGTGCAGTTCGGCTCGATCGGCGGTCGTAGGGCAGGCGGCAGCCGGGGGTAGGACGGACCGGCCGCGCGTGGGGTACGGTGGATGGCCACCGCCACCGCCGCAGCGCTCGAGCGTGGGCACGGGGCAACGCAACCCGCCAACCCCTACTACGGCAGGCCGACCTACGCTACGCCTACGACGCATGCCGCACGGCGTACGTGCGCGCAGGCGCGGTGGCAGTGCGCTGCGACCCGACGCTACCTAGTCCGCCGTAGCGGGCCATGCGCCCATGCCGCGCCGTGCAGCAGTTTCTCGTGCCGGCCGGACGCGCGTACGCCAGGTTCATGCGAGCATATTCCTCTGCCGTACTGCCGTTCGTTCCTCGTGGATCGATGTTCCTGATGATCTTCCTTCTCCGAGCTGCTTGCGTGCGTTCTGCAGCAAGCATCATACATATATTGACACACACCTAAGTAACCGTGCGCATGGAATTCAGCAGCTCTCATGCATGTCGCGGTCGCGGCCTCGCGGGTAGATCTATCTCATGCTGTGCTGTGTTGCATGCCCGACTTTCACTCCAAGGTTTTGCCACTTGTTATCGTGGTCGTCCATTTTACTACAAGGCTTCGCCACCTGTCAATCGCCATGGTCCCTTTTTTTACGTACGTACTACGGTTTTACCCTGCGCCTGAGGTACAGACAGGGGAGTAGATGAGACCACACCCTTACGGTACCTCGTACTCCTAGCTAGCTAGGCGGAAATAATGCATGCAGGCCCCACATGCATGGTTAGTGTTGCTATAAATTTATACAGAGGATCTCATCGATCTGCCGATCTAAAGATCGATTGATGTGTGCACGCAGCACTGCAGATTGGACATGGGAAATGCCAGGAGCTGCGTCGATGAGGACGCCTGACTCACCAGTCACCACGGACTAGAGCACGTAGTACGCCCATGCCGCGCGCAGATGGGCCACTGTTGATCCAGCCATGGGGACAAGAGGGACGAGAGAGCTAGCAATTGGCATCATAGGCAGCCACATTGTTCTCACGTTACCTCCAGCCTGCCGCTCAGCTTGTGGGGTTTCTTGCATGCAGGCGCCTGTGAACTGCGATCTATACGCACTGCATGCTAAGTACGAACACGATCCTTTTTTCTTATATGCGCCCATATAGTTGTGATTGCTTCGACCTGGGATGAATTTTTTAAGCCAAAATCGATACTACTAGCACTAGTATATTTGGTTATTACTCCGAGAATAATATGGTTCCCAAACTCCAAATTAGCGATGATGCCAACTTTTGCGTTCTATCATTGAGTTTGTGATGAACTGATGAAGAATTTTAATTAACACCTGTTTGGGCATTTGGCTAGCATGCCAGTGGCAGTGCAACACCAGGACCAATGCACTAGATACTCCAAGTGATGACATATCCCATCCTTGCGCTTAGATCTGTTGTACAAACCGGTGTGATGGTGTTTCCAAGGACCGTCTATTTGCGAGCCCTAAACTTTGCATACTTCTTCTTGGATTCCCTGCCTCTTACCTCTACCTCTGAAAATTTCGTACTTGTTATATACAGTACAGGATATATATGCCAATGCGCGCGCGGTTACGTGTCCAAATTTTACAGTGCTTGGTATACGCAGTAGTACAGCCTTGCGATGAAAGAACATGCCCGGCCCCGTGTGATGTCTTATTGTTGTGTCCAAAAACGAGATGGGCTGCAGAGTCCTGGTTTGCTTGACATCAGTGTAACTGCTCTCTGCTCCTGCTCATCAAGTGACACTGGACTCTGAACAAGGCACGAGGTTTTCCAAGTCAGATGCGCCTCAGCTCAGCATAACACTGCAGGAGAAGCACATGAACGTTGTCCAAACTCCTCATGGACGATGTATATACGTATTCATCATTGGCCATTGGGCTGAGATGAACTGATAAGACCTGCTTGATTAACAATTAATTTAGCAGCTGCTCAATCAACAGACACAAAAATCAAATGTTCGTGTACCAATGTACTTGATATATTCTAAAGTGAAGTCACCAACTGGCCACGCATAGTATAAAGATGCCAATCCAAGTACTCTCTCTGCACCTGGATTCATTTGTACAAACTGGTTCTGATAGTGTTTGCAGTACCGTTTTGTTGGGAGTCTTAAAATTTGCACGCTTCTCCTTGGATTTCTTTTCCGTTCTCTGAAAATATCCTACATTCTGCACTGTAAAAATGCCATATGTGTGTGTCAGGAAAAAAAAAAGCAAGCCCGAATTTTTACTGCTTGGTACGGGCTATACTATTGCTACATTGAAAGAGCGTGTCTAGTTACCGCTACTGACGGCGTGTTTAGTTTCACCTTAACTTTCAAAAAGTTGCTACAGTACCTGTCACATCGAATGTTTGTGGCCCATGCATGGAGCATTAAATGTAGACGAAAAGATAAACTAATTGCACAGTTTGGTGGGAAATTACGAGACGAATGTTTTGAGCCTAATTAGTTCATATTTGAACACTATTTACCAAATAAAAACGAACATGCTACAGTAGCCCCAAAATCCAAATTCCTACAAGTAAACAAGGGCTGAAACTGAAACGAGAGAGGCTGCAGAGTCCTGGCCTGTTTGACATCAGTATAACTGTTGATGAAGTGTCACTGTGTCAGACTTGAGACCGGAGCCAAGGCCGTGTTTAGATTGCAAATTTTTGTAATCTGGACACTGTACACGCTTCGTTTATATTTGACAAACTTTGTCCGATCATGGACTAACTAGGCTCAAAAGATTCGTCTCGTGATTTACAACCAAATTGTGTAATTAGTTTTTTTTTACCTATATTTAATGCTCCATGCATGCGTTCAAAAATTGATGTGATGGAGAGAGAGTGAAAAAACTTGAATTTTGAGGCAATAGGCCCAAGTCACGAGGAATTGAAGTCAAATGCCGTCACACTGCACGTACATGACCAGTGAGGCAGTTGCGATGAGTTTCCGTCTGATGTTTTTCGTACTGCACACGTATGCTATCACGCTCATGCATGGAGCGGTGCAGGCTCGGTTGTGTCCTCTTCGAGATCCGGTGACCAGTGAGGCATGCAGATCTTGCTACAGGCAGGTACCATGCACTCGGTGAACATTTGTTTGTTCGAAAAAAAATACATGTCAGTATCTCATCGTCTGAAAGAGCATTTGTGGCATTCTATGTACTCCCTCCGTCCCATTGAGTTTGTCGCTCGGGAACCGGGATTGTGAGGGGGGCACGGTTTTCCAACGACAAACTCAATGGGACGGAGGGAGTATCATTTTGCTGTTTAATACTATACAGCACCAGGAAGGGGGAACAAGTAATCAGAGGAGTCTGTATGGGCATCATGCTGCATCGAAGATCCAACAGCATCAGTACTTCTCCAACAGCCTGCAATTTCGGTCTGCCTGCAAGTGAGACAGAAAATGGCAGCCAGCCACCTCCATCCAGTGTTGTCAGCATGCGGAAATTTAACGGCTCACTGCCAGCCAGTTCGCCGCCTTCTTGGATAGCCACTCTTTGTTGTCCTCTGTTTCTTCTTCCTTCGTCCCCCCTCCCCCGATCCCCTTGCCATGGACGCCGATCGAGCTCCGTGGCTGAGGTCGAAAACGTTGGCCCTTTACCTTATCTGTCTTCAGACCTTCCACTCCCTGCACAGCCTGCGCTGCTACCTCCCACACAGACAAGCCGAGCGCACACATTGAATCTAATTATTAATTAAGCATAGAACTAGATGATGCTTTTGAGTCACATGGATCTATTGCACGCGTTGCACGCTTCCTTTGCTTGAATTGGATGGCAAACATGAAAACCACAGGTCGAGAAGCACGAACCAACATATGGCAGTAAGTCAACATCTTCACTGTTTTCAAACTAGTACCCACAGATTGCAGACGGTACATCGCAGTTCTGAGTAAACTAGTTTACCGAATCTGCAGTTCATCCATTAGGATATCCTAGAGAGCATTCGGCACACGCCACGGTTTTACATACACAGCACAACTCGATTAAGCAGAACATCGAAAACATCAACGGGCCTGTTAATTTGCAGATTCAGCGTTCCTTGATCAGCAACATGGCTGCTTCAGATTCCGGAGGTAATTGAGGCCAGTAAGAAAGGTGTACAATCAAGGATAGAGGTGTTAATTCAAGTATCTGTATCAGGGTATTACTATACCTGCCTAGTTCCGTTGGAGATTCAATTGGCAGCTTTTATGTCAGCGAGAGCAGCAAGAACCTCAGTAATTGGACCTTCGGTTAGTGACCTATTGGCCTGGACCACAAATTTTCGTCATGGAGGCATTAGATGTCGTGTTCAAAGCACCAAAGTATTGGAAGTGACAAGAGGCTGACTTTGAGAGATGGCACTAGTGCATAAATCTCTTCAATGGTCTCAGGTCCGATGTTTGCTATCATGCATATCTGTTGCAAGCACACCACAACGGTTGAGTGAGATGAGGCTGCTGTGTGTGACATCGAAAATTTAAGGAAAGGAACAAGAAACTAAGTAACAAACCTCACCATCATCGACCCCGCAATTTTTTAGAGAACTCCAGCAACTAGCTAAGGAACAGAACTGAATCATGGATAAGATGCTAGCTTGATAAAATAATGTAACTCAAAATAGATGCAAGTTCTAGTGTTTCTAGTCTAAACAAAATATTAGGATACTCCAGGGCTTGTTTTGCAGAGTTTGCAGTGGTCAAATGATTTCCATCTTTTGCATATTGGAAAGCTTTGTCAAATGACCTACAGAAGCAACAGGATAGAGTAAACTAGCCAAAGAGCTCAGAGATGTGAACGTAGCACAGAAAATGATTAGTAGGCTAGAAGAAATGATAAATATGAAACATTCTTACTCAGGAATTTTGATCTTGCAAGAGTTCAGCTCCTTCACAGTTCATTAGCATTCTACAATTTGGTGGGATATCTGCAACCAATTATAAGAGCAATAAGATTTTTTCCACACATGCCATTGCATGAGAAACTCGCAGGATTAGCTTACACGGTTCATTTAGAGAAGGGCTCATGGAAATCAGATTGTTGTGCATTTCAGAATTTACACAAAGCATTTTACATAACCATATACCACTTACGATGACATTTGAGCGCTAAATACATGGTGGAACAACACAAATATATAGCAAAATTCTCAGATGCATTTTACTGGATGCCCTATGTTGTGCACACATCTATCAACAAGCAAGTTGCTAATCAACAACACCCACCCATTATCTGAGGCTTCTGAAATAGATATTTGCAAGAATAAGCTGACTGCAGAAACATGATCCCATGAATGGCAGAATGTCGAACTCTAAGCACGCCCATTAACAAGACGTGAGAATACACCATGCCCATCTCTACATGGTTTAAGTAGCAAGCAAAGTGACCAATTTAAGATCAAGAATCACAGTATATACAAATGGGAGTGGCAAGATTATTTAAGTGGAAAATTATGCGGGAAAAGTCACAAGACCAGTAGAGAAATTAATCCAATAAAGATACATTGGAGGCAACAAATAAGGACAGATTCCAAATTTCTCATAAACCACTGTCTAGTCCTTGTAGAATCAATGCTTGATTCTAAGGATACAGTGAGGAAAGACAGTCTATTCCCAATACAAATTCTCCCTAAGCTTAGTTCTCAAGGTCGAAGAACTCCCAAAGCCAAGCAGCATGGGTGCTGTTTTGAGGTCCCAAAGTCTCCTGAATGTGTTGAGGCACCAAAATGCACCAAGGAAAATACCACAACACATAAGTTGGCCTTCTTTTCACAAATGGGCTGCTACAGTTAGTCTATAATGGCCTTCAAATGAGGTTGAAAATCTTAGCCCCCCATCATAGTAGTCAATTTCAGCAATAGAATGAGTAATTAGCATCAAAATAGTTGCATTTTGAAAATTTAACTGAAGGGAACTGACCAAGCTCCAACTTCAATTCTGCATCGGATTTAGTAGGCATTGTATTGGATGCAGAACCCTTTCCACCTTTGTCACCACTATATGCCTTTCCTTTGCTTGCCTCTCCTAAGAAGGGAGATAAATATAGATTAACACTGAGAATATAACAAGTGAGAGAGATGTAACAACAGAAGAGGTAAATATCCTGATCTCTAGCATGAATATTTAAGTACATTTTGAAGAGGATGATGTGTAGTAACATTGTGCATGCATACCTTTAGAAAAGGATGAAGGCTTTCCATCAGTTTTTAGGCTCTCAGATGAAGCCTTCCCATTTGACCTGGAGTGAACTGGAGTAAGCTCTTCTACGAAACCTAGAAACAGGAGGCACTATATGAGTGCTGCAGGTATCAACCATGCGTTACATTATTCATGTGCAGTAACATTCAGCTACATTATAGATTTTAGAATTATCTTGATGTAATGGGGTTCCTTATTTTGCTCTTATCAAAATACTGAAGAAGCACAGCATATATGCAGTTTAATTGTTATCACGTGGAATCTGTCATGCACACTGCACCTATCAATCATGACTCAAGACTCAAGAGTTTTTCGTAGTATGCTTTCCAATCAAAATGATATGCATGTTGACACTTAATTGGTGTCGACGACTAGAGAGTGAATGTGTAGACTGCAAATAAAAACCAAACGACAGTTAGAAAATGGTATTTATTCATCTGCCACCAGGTTTTCCTTAGTAATATATCAACTATACGAAGCCTACCAAGAAAAGCTGACGGGCATTGCCATGGTATATTGGAATCAAAAGACCCAAACAATGATCATTACAATCATGTGAGGTATTATTTTTTTCTCCTGAATGTCCTAGAAGATTCCTTACATTAATAAAGACTAGGCAACAGAACAGTAAACATGTCATACATGATATGTCTAAAATGTCAAGAGTTCAGTCATAAATACAGATGCGGGAGCATGTTTTGAGTTATAAAATGTCAAAAATTATATCAAGGAAACTGAATGTGCTGTTACCTTCAGAGTCAGAATCTGATGAATCAAGCACAACAACTCTTGGGTTGAGAGAACCCTTGCGCCTTCCACTTGGTACTCGATCCATTGGCAAACTTGCCAGACTCTTATTCAAAGGATATGCGTAAGAAGTTCTGCATCTCAAAACCTACATAATTCATATTTAAATTCATCACATAATTGCATAGCAAATAGTGTACCCAGGGGGAAACCAGTAAAGGACAAGTACACATGTCCTCCCGTAACTTTTGCAAATAAATAGGATTTGTTAGGCGTATAATACATATATGAACTTATCTATATCAGACCCGTAAAAAAAACAAATAGAAGCTAGGGTTCGGTTGCTTTGGTTTCGCACAAGCACAACAGTAAGTGAAGAGAAGAGATGCGCATAACAGGTGGGTGTTCGTCGACGGGTAAGAGCCCGGCGAAGACCTGGCGAAGGAACCGACGAGGCTAACCCGGCCACGTGGCACAGGGCGGCGGCGGCGGCGGCGGTCGTCCACTTGCGCCACGACCTACGAGAGAGAGACGGGGGGAAGAGAAGCAAGTGGCGAACGGGGTTACAAATTTCAGGGATAATCTAACCTTTTGCATTGCAATTATTAAGAATGGTGCCTCTTCAGATACTCACTCCGTAAAAAAAACAATTCTAGCAATTGACATATTTTTAAACAATTGTCAAGTTTTAGTAACTTAAGTATCAATATTTATGATATCAAATAAATACCATTAAATTAATTATAAAATATATTTCATAATAAACTAATTTGGAGCCATAAACGTGAATATTATTTATTAGAAATTTGGTCAAACGTGAATCACTTTAATTGACACTCAACCCATAGTTGCACTCTTTTTTGGACAGAGAGAGTATGATTATTAGAATAGACCTTACAGTTACGTGAAATGACATCATTGCCCCTGCCCTCTTCATTTAATACCTAGCTCCAGGCCCACTGAGGTCGCGCCATGTATCAGGCTCGGACTAGTTGTTGAAGGACTGAGGCGTGCACTCAAGCGGTGCACCCAACTCACGGGTCCACGGTGGACCGAAAATGTCCTGAATGGTACGTGTAACCTACGTCAGTCAACGAGTGGATCTATGGCATATGGAGCTCGGACGTTGGATGGTCGTCGGGGGAAAAATTGTCTACAACGGCGTCGCACGGCGCTACCGCTACGGTAACACATAATCGCGACGCTTGTCCCATTGACTCACCGTGGTGGCTGTCCACAGGTGGCAGTGGCTTCAAGAGAGAGAGAGAGAGAGGGCGCTCCTGTGAGCGATGTCGGGCAAAACACAAAAGGGGAAACGTCGCGGTCACTTTCTTTGGACGTGGCCTTACCATGCGAAGCTCGATGGCACTATCTCAATGGCTGGGAAGCTCTGATGGAAATGGGCAGAACTAGGGGGCGGCTCCAACCATCTTATAGCCTGTAGAGAGGCAGTTGGTGTGCGTGAGTGTCCCACTATGACCATTGAGCTAAGGGGGCAACCATTATCATGGCCACTATGGTAGAACATTTTGGGTGGGGAAGAACGACGGCGACGATAATTTTGGCTCGAGAAAGAAGAAAGGGCACTGGGCCACTGCCACATGGGCCCAGCTATCAACAAGCGGGGAGGCGAAGCAGTGTGGGCCACCACTCCACACTCGTAATGCGTGGTGAGCCACATGGATCGTCCAGTTGGTGAAGGATCTAGATGGCTAGAGAGGGTTGAATACCCTATAAAAATTTCTCTACAAAGTGCACAAACACTAGAGCAAGGTAGTTAGTAAAATAACAAATCATAATAGCCATTACTTGCACTAGCTCTAGTTCGCCCAAGCAAGACCCTTACATAATACTAGTAACGATTGAATTCTACTCTAATACACTTTACCACATAAGAGCTACTAGCTACAAGACTACTCGAGCTAGCTACACAAAAGAGCAAACTGAAACGATCCATGGTTTCCTCGAAGGAAAATTCACATAACAAATCAATGTGATAGTCCTAGGAGAACAAGTGTGACAGAACCGCCTAATCTAATACCTCTCAGGAGTACTTGTCTTTCATTAGACACTAAGTACCCAAGAGAGGATACTAAACTACGCAGTTTCGTCGAGCACACCATAAGAGAAAACTCGAAAATCCATATTTTTCCATCAGGGTCATAAATGAGATAACAAAACTTACAACATTTTTAAGTCATTTCTTACCTCACTTTGTTACAATAACTGAATATTATCTCAATTGTTTATAATAGTGGAATATAACAATGTTATCAGAGTTACAGAGGAAGCAAGACTAATTTAGTGACATGGTGGAGTATTAATATAGTGGACATTTATATACAAGAGATGCTAGCAGATTTTACATATTTTCTTATAAAAACTTTTAGTGACGGTTATAAATAAACACTACGGTCGTAGCGTGAAAGGAATCCTCTCTGAGTCCACCAGGAGGTTTTCACATACAAGAGTCAGCTCTAAGTATCATCCGATCACCTGCAACAGGAGGAATAAAACCCTGAGTATTCGATTGTACTCAGCAAGACTTACCCGATAAGAGAAAAATAAAATACTCCAAGAATATGCAAGGCTTATTTAACTTGTGGGTTATTGCATCTACGGAAGCATTATTACACGTACGTCCTTATATTCAATTTTATTAGCAGTCATCATTAGTTCTTTAACTAGCCATTCTATGTAAGCACCTATGCTACTTTCAAGCAAGTGGTAAGGAATCAGAACCATTTTATCACCTTTCAAGTTTCAGTTCTTACTACGATGCTAGACCATAGCCAAATCGGTACCGTCTCACAGAAACAGCGATTCACGAATCAATGTATCCCAGCTGGGTACCCCGAAACACATGCCCTGTTTGTACCCCAGGCACCAACAAGACCAACACATTCCACTCCTGTCAAGGGGTCCAGGTCCCCGTCCAAACTTAGACTTCAAGCCCCCACACTTGAGACCCGGTCTCAGTATGGTGCTTAGACCTCCACCTTTTCTCGCCTCCAATCAGCCGGGCCGAAAAGAGCCAGAACCCACGACAAGAGCATAATGAGCCTTCTCGCTCTCATAAGTAAGTATGTGCTCAGAATAATAAGTCTGTGACCTGACTACCATCCATAGCAACGGACGGTCCTCAATCGACATAGGCAGAACAAGTGCGATCCGAGCCTCGCTCGAATGCATAACCAAGTCCATATCCAAAGTATCATTCTACCCGATCTCCAATTATCCTTCATATATATTATATGTGACAGTAATATAATAATAACAATAATATCATTCCTATCTCTCGTGTGTGGTAGGTAATCACTCGACTTCTACCGGATCCTATAGCATAGCAATCTATACGATCCTGACATACCAGTAGGACTCATAGGATAAGGATATATATATGCAAGTGGGGTTTTATTTAACTCCTTAAAACTTAATGCACAAGCATAAAATAAAGTATATAATAATAAGAGTTATGTACCGGGGCTTTCCTAGGTAATATATAACCAAAAGTTAGCATTCTATCATGGTGACACGATCATCAAGGCACCATCCTTTTCGTTACTTCAGTCGACTCCATGATCCATTGTTGTTTCTATTATGATATACATGGATGCAACGAAGAAATGTAAATAATCAACTCCAATTACAACTCTAAAATACGATTACGCTCCGTATGCTAACGAGTCAGCCTTAATGACTAACGTACTAGTCTACGTATCCACGTCGTCAAATAAATCTTGCCTCCGGAAAAATGTTTTAGTCCTACAATTCCAAAGGTGTTTCGGCATTTTATTGATTAAACATATATTTTCGAACTAGGGCTCATTTAGCTACCCTAGCAAACTAATTATTATAGAGCTATAAAAATTATAGTGAGTACCTAATAATGTGAGAAATTTACTATGAAAGTTTCAGAGCCAACACTATCACCAATTTATCACAAAAATTCCTTCAAATTTATATCTTAACAATATTAAGCATCTCAAATTAATTAGATCACTTTTGAAAATATTATAAAACTATGTGAACAAAATATACTAGCAGATAGATCATGATTTTAGAAACCTAACAAAATTGGTTTCACAATTTTTGGTTAACTACACAATTTTATACTGAATTTACAAGTTTACCTTAGAAACTAAATTAAAAATACATTAGAAAAAGAAAAGGGCCGTCAACCCAGTGCGGCGCGGCTACGCGCGCGGCATGGCGGGCCAGTACGGCCCAAGGCCGAGGCGTCCGCGCGTGATGGCGGCTTTGCAGAAAAGCCCCTGAGCTTTTAGATAATAACATGATTACTATGCACACTATTCCTACCAACAACGTTTTTTCAAACAAACCCTCGGATGTTTTCACCTTTACCATGGGGAGGTCCCTGGGGATCCCCGCGCGCGCCGGCGCGGCGGCCGACGGCACAAGGCGGTTATGCCGAGCAACCTAGGCGTGCTACGACGGAAGTAAGGGGCCGACCACCATCTACAACTAAACGAGCAAGGATGGGTGGCGGTTAAGAACTCGGAGGCGCACTATCGCGGGCTGTAGCGGTGAGTGGCTATCCACAGCGGTAGTGTGACTGTTCCAGCGACCTAAGGTTCTATCGGGGGTGGTAGAGATAGTGGGTAAGCACCAGTAGCTCACCGGAATTCATGCTGCTGTGACGGTTGTGGAGGAGGAGTGCCGAGATGGCCTGGCCACGTGCCAGCCGCCGGGGCAACGGTGCTCCGTGATGGACACCCATGCGTCACCACATCTTCGGTAAGCGCCCTGACCAAATGGCACGAGCACCAGATAGAGGGAGTCAAGGCGAGCTCAGGGTTACGAGCAATCGAATTGCTACCACTCCTACATGCCTTATCTCCCACCCCATCGATTCGGCGGTGTCCATGACCAGCGACGAGCAAAAGGCCAAATTGTCGAACGGCAGGGCATGACCGAGCTTGAGGGGAAGGAGACGACTAGCCTACTTCCTAAGCTACCCACTAGAGCGAGGAATTGAACGGCGAAGCCGCTGGCGCTAGGTGAATTAGAGGGCAAAAAAGCAAAGCTCAAGCCGTGGTCATGACGTGGAAAGGCACACGAGTGAGCACAAGCGGATTAAGATGGGCGGCTCTGATCAATAGCTGCAACATGAGCACATGCGCACAGGTGACGAGACAGTGGAGGGATTGACGCGACATGCTTGAATTAGAGCGGCCAGACCCGAGCAGGGCTCAACGCCATCGGCTAGCGGGCGTGAGGCAGGATGAGTAGAGAGGCGTCGCCGTCACCCTGTGACTAGGGTCGGTTGACCTAGACGCGGTGGGCGGCGGCACGGGCTCGCGGTAGGTGAGACGCAGGGCATGGCGACTACCATGTCGACATGGCGACAATGGCCATGACCTTGGCTCGACCCCGCGCGCGGCTCAGCGGACACGGTGGCGCACGCATGCAGCGACAGTGGGGCACACAACAACCGAATTGCGACACGCCTCACCACGCGACCGCGCAGCGGCTGCACCGGCGTAGCACACTGGCAGCACATCGGCACAACGTAGCGGTGCGGCGCGGCGCTCATGAGCACGTGAACCAAGGCATGGCTCAACCGGCCTGGCACGAGGTGACCGCGACCCGTTCGACCCAACGCACAGCACGGGCAGCGACGAGACAGCCACCGGCAAGGTTACGCGCGGTGTGCGCGTGCAATAGTGCGTGCACCCCCGCGCGACGCCGCACTTCCGAGAACGGTGGCCGCGCACACCGGACCAACCAGCCCGAGGTGAGGTCGTGCACGACTTTTAAAGTGCGTCTAAAAACTAACCTAACACAGTTGAAGCTAAACTACCTCGACCATGCTAACGATGGTACATCAGTCTACCATAAGGACCAAAAACACAGCATTGTCCTTAACTAGATTTTCTAGAATTAATTCACCAACATGGCATTGTCACATTGTTTTCAAACTCAAAATTTCTTCCAAGTCTTGAGCTGAATTTGACTTCAAGTTACATTTTCAAGGCATTAGAAATACTAGCTAGTCATATGATTTTTTTACAGCAAGAGTTGCATTGTCATCTACAAAGTTTGTACTTTAAGCTTTATTTAAGTATCACACACATGTTCTATAGTATTTTTGTTTAATAAAAATTAATTTTCAACCCTACTTGATATACATGAGCTATTGAATCAACATTCATTTAACATTTTTATTGGTTATTTTAGTCTACAAGAAATTTATCAATACCTTCTATCACATGCATTATTACATAAACATGATGCTCATGACATAATTTAGTAGTTTGTTTCGGGCGTAATACCGAGGGTGTTACAACAAGCCATCACATTATCGAAATCTAGCGATATCACAGTTCATACATAGCGAATACCTGTCTTAGAAGGGTACAATAGAGAGATTTACCCTAATTATTATATCACCACATTGGCAGAATCACACACACATAGAACAACATCAGAGTAGAATGAAGTGTCTCGGCGGGTGAAGACTCCAACTTGCAACTCGAGCGTAGGACAAGATCATCTAATCCTTCCAGCTATCATTGGTGAAGTCGTACTTGGGCTCCTCACTTGTATCACAAATTTTCAGTACGGATTGTACTGGCCACTAATTCTCATCCTATGCTTTCTTGCAATGTGGTAAGTGGTATAGAAGGGTAAGGGAGAGAACCTATCATTTGGTTGTGGGTTTCCTATGCGAATCTAAGCATCAAGGTATAAATAACCACAGTATCATCCGATCCATCCATCCACCTATCCCGTATCCAACACAGTCACACCACACTCATATCTCACCACCATGCTCTCTAGTCGACAAGGACAATTCTCTCTTGTCCTTGCCTCAATGGTCTCAGGTCAGATCCTTATCCAATCCAGGGGGGAAGAGAAGAAAACACCACTCTTTAGTCAAGGGAAGCAAGAAACATATGAATGTCTATGACCGTGGATATGGCTATACGTATAGATCGATCAACTCATATTTATTGGATTTATTTAATTTATTTATTCTAGAACTTAACGAGGTTATTCTTTTAGTGGTAGACAACGCGTCCATCAACAACAAGGTGCCTATGTGACTTCGTTAACTTCAAAAATCTATTGGTTCAGTCTTTCGAAGGTGCTTATAAGGATAGACTTTGCATGCTTGTATTTATAAGCATGAGTGTACATATATGTTCGTGGAGGTACTATTTAACTTAAAGAAAAAGAAAAAGAAAGTCAGAATGTCGAAAACAAACCATTTGATTAGTAACACATCTATGAATTTTAAAATAGTGGTTTTACCGGCTCAGCTCTGGCTCCTCGCTACAGTGTGTGGAGGAGACAAAACCAGTGAAGCCTAAAGTAGTGATTTCACTGGCTCTTAGTTCATTTTAGGAGGAAATTGAGAAAAAAACAACTCCTAAAATGCATAGAGGAACCGGAGCCCGAGCCGCCAAGAGTTACCAAAAGGGATATCAGCCTCCTGACAAAAATGAGTGTTTGTATAGTAGATTGTGGATACTAAGCACTAAATTCTAATAATAGAATGTTAACATCAATCAAAATTTAGAGCTTATATCAACACTTACATCTCATCCGCATCGAAACCAGGCAACCCTAGCTTCCCCGAATCCTCTAGATCGGGCGAGTTGCTTCGGGTTCAAGGGGTGAGAATGTGAGACGTCTTCCACGTGAGGTTAGTGATCATCCGGAGGCGGATTTGAGTTCGCGACTTGAGCATCTATGGAGGCGTAGTGGACGAACGGGTGTGTGTTCAACAGTTTGTGTTGTTTCTAAGTCCAAATCGCTTCATTCCTCTTCTGATTCAGTCGTTCCCCTTCGTGGAACGCAGTCTGAGATTCGCTGGTCTACTCTTGGAGGCGACACTCGGTCATTTTCTCAGGTGGTCCAGGCTCCTGTGAAGCCTAAGATCATCATGAATCGATCTAATTGGAATCAGAACTGGGGAGGAAGGGGATATGGTGGAAATCAGAACTGGGGAGCCTGTTCGCTGGTTGGTTTCTGGACTGATAAGCTTGGCTGATGCTGGTTTGTTGTGAGAGAAGCCCTGGCTGAAACCAACGAGCGAACAGACTGGAAGGGGATATCCTGAGAACCAGAACTGGTATCGTGGAGGTGGCGGCAACAGAGGCCGTGGCTATGGTAACAGGGGTTGGAACCCGGAGTACAGGCAGAGATCTCACCATACTGAGGATAGGCAGAGATCTCACCAACTGAGGATAGGCAGGACGATGTTCCGAGGCCGACTGAAGAAGAGCAACATACTACAACAAACTCTGAAACTGTGGAAAAGGATCAATCTGCCAACAGAGCTGAGAATGTCAAATCTGGGCATGAGGGGGAGGAGGATGCAAGGGAGATTGTGAGAGAAAATAGAATCAACCAAAATCACATTACTCCTGGAGTTTGCATGAGATGTGGCAAGCCAGGGCATTTACCTGAAGCTTGCAATAACCCTATTATCTGTGAAAGATGCAACAAAGAAGGGCATGTGGCTAGAGTATGCTTGGCGAAATTACCCTGGGAGTTCAATGTTCCTTTCTTTGGGCTATCTGCATATGGCCAAGGTTTTCATTTCATCAAAAGTGCTGCAACTGAAGAAGGTATCAAGGATATGTCTAATATTGCCTTGATCACCACCACTGAGGGAGTGGCAACTGCCAAACAGATTGAGGCAGAATTCAAACTCAAGGCTGGACCTGAGTCCAGCTGGAGGTGGTATGCTAAGAAAATTGATGAGAAAATTTCAAATGAGGTTTCCCAATAGCAAGGCCTTGGAAGATGTGACTTACTTCACTGAGATGAGAATGAGGTCTGTCCCAACTGTGGTTATCAGAGTTGAAAAGTGGAACTCCTCTGCTGGTTCCAAAGGTCCCCTGGATTCTGCTTGGTTCAGGATAAGAGGGTTACAATATGAAAAGAGATCCTACTCCAATGTTTGCCTAGTGGCCTCAAAGGTGGGAGTCCCCCTGGATGTGGACAAGAATAATCTTTCCAAGTTTGAATATGTCAGAGCTAAGATTGGGTGCAGAGACATTACCAAGGTACCTGCTACAGTGGAAGGGGTTCTTGACTTTCATTGGCATGATTTCCACTTTCAGAGAGAAGTTGAACAAGAAGGATACACCAATCCAGCTGGTAATCAATGGATTAGAGCTGGGGGAGACAAAAATGATGAGATACCTTCACCAAAGAAAATGAAACTGGGAGGTAATTTCCAAACTAATAATACTGAGGCAGGACCAAGCAATTACAGCAATACTGGAAAAGGGGAAAAAAGTCACTGAAGCAGTTGAAAGTGAAGCAAATGAAGGCAATATGAAGGATACAGAGGAAAGTGAGGATGAAAGCTGGGCTATGGGAGACCTGTATCAACCTGGGTTTGGTGGATTATTGTTTGGAAACTTTGATTCAGGAGAAATTAAGAAGCTGACATGCATGTCCTTTTTGGAAGGAAGTTCAATTACTATCAATGAATATGGATCAAATATGGGAGAAAAAGCTTTTGACTCATTGGCAGCCATTGAAGCCAAAAGAGCTCTTCTGAAACATGAATACAGCCAGTCTGACCTGATGGGCAGCTGCCTAAAAGAGAAAGGACAGAGCAGCAAAAGAAAGGACTTATCACCTGTTTTGGAAGAAAAATGAAAAAGAAGCTGAGACTATGAGAGCATCATCTATGAGTCCAGCTCATGGCACTCAGGAACCACCTGTGGATATCTCAAGCCAGGAAGATGTGGAAGGCAGAAAGGTCAATAATGAGGTAAGTAATCAGGTAAATTGGGATGCTCTAACTCAAGAGGAGGATGCAACAGAGGCGCAGATAAGTCAAGTTGATGATGTTGGTGCTGAAAAGACTAAGAGTCCACAGATGTCACAGAAAGTAATGGAAGGAAATGGGGATAAGCAGGAAAAGATGGCAGTTAAAGAATGGCAAACTGTAAGGTAAAGCAAAAGGGGAAGAGATCAGGAGCTGATAAGAAATGACAAGGAAGGGGGCTCGGCTGAAAAAGTCAACCAGGATAAAGCTGAAGGTACATTTTCTACTTCTAAGAACTCCTTTGCAGTTCTAGATTATATTAACTTGATGGATATTGCTAGGAAAATGGGCATAAACCAAGATGAGTTATCATTTGATAATATAGACATGTTGAGCGATTTAGAAGTAGCAAGAGCTGCTCTGAATAATCCTGTGGTTACTGTGAATATTGAATCCAATGAAACTCTGGAGGAAATTCCTCCCTGTTCTGAGAATAACATTAAGGGCTGGCAGACTGAGGAATCTGAATCTGAAGTCTGCCTTATAGCCAGTTCTATCAAGAAAAAAAGGAAAGGAAAAACCAGTAAGAAGAAAAACAATTTACAACATAGTGGAGGTAAAGAGAACCAACCTGTGGATGGTATATCTACCTCTACTAGAGATAAATCTATGGTTAGCCCTAGATTTAATCTCAGGGACAGAAACACAATCAAAAGAGTTATCAAATGATAGGTCTCATTTGGAATTGCAGAGGGGTCTATAAGAAAGGTCTTAATACTTTTCTTAAAGATCTTATTGGGGAATATAAGGTTGATTTTATATGCATTCAGGAAACAATGAGGAAAAAATTTACTGAAAAATTCTTCAGAACTCTTGACAGTCAGAAGAATTTTAAGTGGTTTTGGATCCCTTCAAAGGGGAAGTCTGGGGGGATGCTTAGTGGCATCAAAATTGAAAGATTTGATTTGGAAAACTTTGAAAGTGGTGAGTACACCATTATTGCTAATATTCATGACAAAATGTTAAAAAAAATCTATCTCTTGTAAATGTTTATGGGCCTGCCCAAGATGAATTCAAAGATCAATTCTTAAGTGAACTTGCAAATATGTGCTTGAAATGTAAATACCCAATGTTGATTGGAGGGGATTTTAACATTTTGAGATACAGTGAAGACAAAAATAAGAGTTTCATTCAAAACAGATACTCTGGCATTTTCAATAAGATTATTAACTTGTATGAGCTCAGAGACTTGGCTCTGCAAGGGGGGAAGTACACTTGGAGTAACAATAGAAGCAATCCGAATTTAGAAAATTTGGATAGAGTTTTCATCTCTAGCAGCTGGGAGCAGGAATTCCCATTGTGTAACATAAAGAAGATACCAAGATACACCTCTGACCATAATCCCATCATTTACAGTAGAGAATTGAATCAAAACAAGATTTCAAAGCCTTTCAGCTTTGAAAATTCATGGGTTAATCATACTGATTTCATACCTAAAGTGAGTGAAATATGGAGCAAGAAGGTAACAGCAAAGAGTAACATTGAGAAATGGTGCATTAAAATCAATAGAATCAAAAAAATTCTTAAAGGTTGGGGTCAGAGTATTAAAGGGCATAATAGAAAATATAAGAAGCTCCTGCAGGAGGAGTTGGGAAAACTTGAAATTTTGGAGGAAGAGGATAGCCTACCATCTAACCTCCTTGAGAGGAAGTTGTTTATCCAGAAAGAACTGGTAAAATTTCTGGAGGAAGAGGAAAGCTACTGGCATAGAAGATCAAATTCAAATTGGTTGTTAAAAGGGGACAATAATACTGCTTATTTCCATAGGATTGCTAATGGAAAAAAGAGAAAAAACACCATTTTCTGCCTTCAAGGGGAGAATGGAGATATAGAAGGTGATGATCTAATTTCTAAACATGCCAGTCAGTACTATAAAAACTTTTTGGACCTTCAAACAATTCAAATATCCATCTGGACACAAATTGTTGGGATCCTGGGGAGAAAATCTGTGAGGAGGAAAATAAGGAGTTAATTAAAGAATTTACTATGGAAGAAATCAAGTTTGCAGTGTTCTCTATGGAGAAAAATACGGCTCCTGGGCCTGATCATTTGCCCATTGAATTCTATCAGAAGTGTTGGGATATCATTAGCAGTGACCTTTTGACTCTGTTTAATGATTTTCATCACAACAATCTTGATATTGGAAGATTTAATTATGGAGTGATTACTCTCTTGCCAAAAGTTAAGGATGCCAATAAGATTCAACAATACAGACCAATTTGTTTGCTTAATGTGGTATTCAAGATCTTTACCAAGACACTTATGTTAAGGTTGGAAAAAGTCACAGACAAGATTATCAATAAATGTCAATCTGGCTTTATCAAAAACAGAAATATAATGGATGGGGTTATGGCACTACATGAAATTTTACATGATGCCAGAATTAAAAAGAAGGATGGGCTAATTCTTAAGCTTGATTTTGAGAAAGCTTATGACAAAATCAACTGGAATTTTTTATTCAAATGCATGGAGCATAGGGGATTTGATAATCAATGGTGTAGATGGATAAAAGATATTGTAACTTCTAGAACCCTGAGTGTTAAGGTGAATAATACTCAAGGACCCTATTTCTCTACTGGAAAAGGGGTGAGACAAGGAGATCCTTTGTCTCCTTTCTTGTTCAACATTGCTGCTGATACTCTTGCCAAAATGCTTACTAATGCTCAAAAAAAATAATCTCATAACTGGCTTAGTGCCCGAATATGTAGAAAATGGGATAGCAATTTTACAGTATGCTGATGATACCATTTTGTGTATCCAAGATAGCAAAGAGCAGGCTACTAATTTGAAGTTCTTGCTATATCTGTATGAAACTATGTCTGGCCTTAAAATCAACTTTGGTAAAAGTGAGGCCATCATGATTAGCCAGGACATGAATAAAGCTATAGAATATTCTGAAAACTTTAATTGCTCCACTGGTAATTGGCCAATAAAGTACTTAGGAGTCCCTGTGTCTAGCTCCAGGATACACATTGCTGACTGGTTACCATTAAATGAAAAGATCATGAAAAGATTGGATGGATGGCAAGGTAGTTCCCTGTCCATTGGTGGGAGAACTATTTTGTTGAATTCATGTCTGAGCAGTATGCCAACATATGCCATGTCTATGTACTTGCTCCCCGGTACAGTTATTGAGAAAATAGATAAAGTCAGGAAGAGATTTTTTTTTGGCAGGGGGGGGGACGAAAAGAAAATATCATTTGGTAAAATGGAAAATTATTACAAAGCCAAAAAAGAAAGGGGGTTTAGGCATTAAAGATTTAAAGAGAATGAATACAAGTCTCCTTTGCAAATGGTGGTGGAAGCTAGAGTATGAAAATGGGATCTGGCAAGAGATTGTCAGAAAGAAATATTTGAAGAACAAATGGGTAACTCAGCTCACTCAAAAACCATCTAATTCCCCTGTGTGGAATGCTTTGGTAAAAATTAAACATATCTATGTTAAAGGGAGAGTTATGAGACTGGGAAATGGGAAAAATATTGATTTTTGGAATGACATCTGGTGTGGGCCTTCGTCCCTGAAAGATAGATTTCCTAATCTATATGAGATTTGCTTTGATAAAAAATGCTCTGTGCATACAATTTGTAGTCGAAATTGGTGACTTTTCTTTAGAAGATGGCTGTCAGAGGACCTACAGAATCAACTCAGAGAGTTACATGATATGCTACTCAGATATAAAACTAATGAGCAGTCTGATGGGGTGATCTGGAAGTGGGAGAAAAATGGCAAAATCTCTGTTAAATCAATCTACAAACATTTATTTAGGAATGATGAAGGGGAAGAGGTCAAACACCTGTGGAAAGCTAAGTTACCTCTTAAGGTCAAGATCTTTATGTGGTTAGCTTTGCAAGATTCTATTTTGACCAAAGACAGTTTGCTCAAAATAAAGTGGAAAGGTAGCCCTGCGTGTGCATTCTGTCAAGATGCTGAATCTGTCAGGCATTTGATGTTTGAATGCCCTGTGACAAAGTTTGTCTGGAGCATGCTGGCCTATGTTTTTGGGGCGACGGTTAGACCAAGTTCTTTTACTCAATACTGGATTTGGATCAATCGGTATTTACCTGGGGGCAAACAAGTGTTCTTTGTTGGGTTGGCAGCGGTATGCTGGTCAATCTGGAAAATAAGAAACAACATATGCTTCGAAGGGAAAGGAGTCAAAACACCCACTGAAATCGTTTGTCTAATTTGCTCCACGATAACCTACTGGGCAGGTTTGCAGAAGGACGCAATCTCGGCGCGGAGGTGCTCAAGAAGACGGCGCTCCAGTTTCACCAACACGAGCGCATGGACGGAGGGGATACCCGGCTGGCGGTTGTCTGACACTTCGATCGTCAAGAGTGAACTCGCTGTTTTTGCTGGAAGACTGATTGCAGCCTGCGCGCTGTCAGAAATTTTATACCATAAGGACTTGTAATAAGGTTACCTTTTTTTGGATCTGGTGGATGTGGGCTGTGATGAACGGTTCTCTGCAGGTTTATCGTGAGCATGTAGGGAGCAGTAAAAGTCAGGACACCATTGGTTGAACCCTCTGTGTTCATACCAATGTGGTTTACAGCGAGATTGTTATTTTTGTTTTTTTATTAGGTACAAACTCTTGTAATTTCGTTGCTTTCGAGTAATGAAATTCGGCTTTGCTGTTGTGGAAAAAAAAATCAACACTTACATCAGGTTTGCTAAATATAATTAGAAGTTTTTAGTTAATTACTAGATTTCACTGTATGAAAAAGCATAAATAAATAAAATATAAAGACACTCTAAAACAATAATATTAAGTTCTCATATCAATTAAAAAGAACAATATTTGTAATCCTATCATCCGAATCATCATTCACAACATTCTTGTTGCCATAGGTACAATCAACATTGTTACATGAACCATCCATATAGCAAATAGCGGCGTAATAACAGCAATAGAGGCACGTAACAGCACGTTCTCAGTGCAATAATGGCTCCATTGAACAAAGACTGGCATGGTATGCTGCTTTGAGAAAAAATCATCAAGTTCAGAGAGATGTTGAACACCAAATAAACATTTCCAGCCTTCCAGGATATGATGCAGCATTGCATCAAAACTCTGGCAGAAGTGGATGCAGAATTACATCAAAATATTGGCATGATGAGTAAATAAGGCCATGTTTGGATGGCGGCACGGGAAAGCTGCCTCCAAACATGCCCTAAAGGACTGAAAAACAGATCATCCAACTGCTCCTCAGTCCTTAAGTCCTTACTCCTTAATGACCCTGCTAGTAGTTCATACATGAATCCTTTGCTTCCTTTCCAAACCACCAGATTACTGTGGATAGCCAGCGCACTTCATTCACATGTGAAGCCACCTTCACAAATAGTATCAAGTATGAGAACATAGACCAAAGTTTACAATACTAGGATCATCAGGAGGGAAGGGGGATCCAAGAAAAAGTAGCTCTTTCTAGATCGATAGTACCACAACGAGATGCCCCAGTCCCAAATATATTGAAGTCCAGTTCAAAGAAAGTTTATTTCATCCGTACGGCTAACAAACTACTAAGAGAACTAATGCATACTAATACTAAAGCATAACAAAACACCAGCAAGAACCAAACAACTATGAGATATTATTAGCAATGCATTCGTGATTACAACCAAGGACACTAGCACTTCAGCCTGCTATTCTCTATGCATTAGCTCATAGTTTGTTAGCATATACAGGAACATCACAAACACAACTGCACCCTTTTTCCGCCTTATGCGCTTAAATTTCAATGTGCCATGTGGCAAAACAGAGTCGTCTGACTAAGATCCTACAGAAAACCTATATTTTCATGCATTCCCAAGTGAAGTCTAAACTATAGGCCATTAGCCCACTAGCGAATTTGAAGTGTAGAACAAGCACTTAACAATATTGCAAAGTCAAAAACAAAACATGATTGGTACTCTTATTTCCTGTTCCACTCAAACCAAAAGACATTTACCAAATTACCAAACGTTGGATTACCAGATAAGTAAAGTTTTCACACCAGAACAGACTCTGCATCACATGGGCAACTGCCCATTGTCTGCAAAACGTATACAAGAAGCATGGAAAAGTTGGATAGCAAGTTTACCACTTCATATTCTTGGTAGGCACAATGACGGTGGAAAACCAGTGTACTGTTTGGCATATAGAAGGTTCCTGAGGCCACAAATTTTCTCAACCTGCATAGACTCAAACTCAACAGAGAAGTATCCTACGTCAACGTCATGAGTAGAAGGCTCCAGGTGCAAATTCCATGGAATCCCACGAAGAAGCAAGTGCTTATCCGTTGCATCTGCAAAGCTGAAAATATATCGGGACGGCAACCTGACTCTCCTCTTAAGCTGCCAAAGGCTGTTGCCTTCTTCGTGGATTACCCGAACAGCATAAACGAGGTAAGATGCAGCAGAGATCATGCTGTTGTGGAGAGTGAACATTCCAATTCTGCCTTCTGCTGCCTCCACAATGACAGAATCTTGCTGGCCGTGACCAGACGGGATGTCAAAGGAGGAGAACACCATGGAACGCGTGTCGAGCACAAGGAATTTGTTAGTCCCAGTCACCTTCCAGTAGCAGCTGCCGAAAGCGTAGGAGGACCATGAAAAATTGCAAGAGGGATGCACGCTGACATCCACGGCTAGACTTCCCCATCTTCCGGTGCCCGAAGAGAAGACGAAGGCGACCAGCTGTCCAGGTTTGCGCTCCACCACGCAGACCACCCTGAACGACGTCTCCGCCTCCTCGTCAGTGGCGGGGACGAGGAACGGCTCCAGACGACCGCAGCGCTGAGCGGCTGGGTGTCCGGGGATATGGGGGAGGAAGAGGTATCGCCGGAACACAGGGTCGCACACCGCAAAGTCGCCGCCCATGGCCTCGCGCTCCAGGAGGACGCGGCCGTCGCGGGCGTCGACCGGGATCCAGCGGCCGGCGCAGGGGACGAAGGAGAAGGAGAGGTCGGCGGCCCGCCGCAGAGCTCGCGCATAGGGCGCGGAGGTGTGGGGCGGCTCCGCCGGGTGGACCGATGAGAAGAGCAGTAAACCGAGGAGGGGCACCGGGTGGACGGAGTGGAGGCGGCGGAGGAAGGTGCAGTCGGCGACGACGCGTCGGAAGGAGGCGCAGGCGGTGGCGGCGCGCCCTACATCGGCGAGGGTGGGCAGGCGGAGGAAGATATCCGCGAGAAGGTCGTCGTTGAGGCGCCAAAGCGGGGACGGCGTCACCGGGGCGTTGATACGCTTGGCGCTGGGCTGTTCCGGCGAGTCCATCGCGTATTCGCGTGTCGCCGCCGGCGTTCCGTGGCCCGTGGGCGGCCGTGGATAGGTGGGATGGGAAATTGTCACATTCTAGCTCTTATTGCTCGCCTCTGACGCTCTCCTAGTTTTTTTTTTTTTGAGAGATCTCCTCTCTTAATATTAGGACCGACGATGCTACTCCCTTGGTACCAAAATGTCGACACTAAAATGTTGCAGTCACACAATGAGCAATACTTTTCTTGTGCAAGTGGACCGATGCTATGAGCTAACAACACATTTTTCCCACTTGATTAATTTATACTTAATTTGGGGTTAACCTCTAGAAATCCATCCTACGAACAAGCCTCTTCTTACGTCATATGGCAACTTTAGCTTGCCTATTTTGTCTCCCCTATCTCTTTATTTCCCCCAAACCATATGCCTCCACATCCTTGTTCACTTGCTAGGGAAGTCTATGATCCTCTAACTCTTCTCACATATAGAGGGAGGTGACGGCTCTCTATAAGTTGCAATCCATAGCATGATTTTCCTAGAAAAATCTGGAGTTTTTAAATACACATTGATTGTTCTCCACCCCCCCCCCCCCCAAATCAAAAGTTTTGCCCCCTCAAATAAATTCTGTAGAATGAATAAAAAAATTGCTTTATACAAAGTTTGGCCATAATTCAAAGTTTTTCCTTGTGGACTAAAAGAATCAACAATCAAGTCGTCTAACGATATGTCTTGTATGATTTATCATGTCCTATCATAATGGGTAGGATTGTAGAAACTGGAGCATGCTACCCAATTGGAGCAGGGCACAGAAGATTTGAAGGATGTTGCAATACACTACCATCAACAAGAACATGTGGAAAGAAGGCTGGAGATTCAGGAGGGCACAATGATTTAAACTGACGTAGGAGCTGGGAGTAAAATGATCCTAATTATTTCACATATAGCCTGTTTTGTAAGCGTTAGTTGTCTGTTTGGATATGTATCTATAGTAGTCGCATGGTAAAACTTAAGGTTTTGCATTGTTTGCTTTAGTTCGGCTGCACACGGGCTAAGCCATGGGTGCTCAGATAAGTTGATGTAGTTTTTTTAGCTTTCCATCCCATAGTTTGAACTATGAAGTCTTTTGTAATTTTTCTATTATTAAGTAATGAGAATCGGGTTTCCCGCCATGGAAAAAAACTAGGACCTCTAAGCATGGAATTGGACAAGGAGGAGATGATGGCCTTGAGTGAGAAGGGAAAGATGAATAAGCTAGCGATATGAGGTGGGAGGATAAGTGGGGCATAGGTCTGTGGAGGCCAGTCCGCAAAGTAGATCCCTCCTTGCCATGTGGCAATGTGCCCATATTCATCATAGCGCTTCAAAAGTTTCCTCTCTGTTTATCCTCCTTATCTCCTTCCTCCACATATCATGAATTTCAAGTTAGGTACTCATTATAAGTCCTATCACATAGTAGGCTAGCATATTTTAACAAACTAATAATGGTACCTATGGAAGTTGCTACTTTGGCATGTAGAGAAGCACCCAAGACATCGCATTCATCCATATAATAAGAACCAACTATAGCACGTCGATATCAACTAATGTTCAATAACACAAATACACAATAAAAAAATCATAACATGTACTTATTACATAGTATCACAGATAGGAGGGTGATGATCTAAACCAAGCCTAGGAGCAAGTAATTAAAGTTAAGTTATTCCAACAATCAAAAGAAAACTTGTGTCCGGTAGAATAGAAGATAACACACCAAGCCATGCCAAGCAAAAGTGCGACACTTTGTCGTCCATCTCAAATAAATCAAGCATACACCAAATGATGCCCCAATAGGTACACATCTTCAAGTCCACTTAGCTTGAGAACATTGGCTGCATCAATAAAAGTTACTTATTAAACATATCATTCAGAGAATAATTTAGTACCATAGATTTCCATGCAAAATAAACAAAACAAGAATTCACAATTTGTGGACAAGTGTAGTTTTCTCAATAATACAATTTAACCCAATTATATAATTAAGTTTTTGACATTTTGTTTTATTCCTAGCCAAGTATAATTCCAAAAAAAACACAACCAGTGGGGGAAAGACTATCCTACATGTTTTTACTAAGAAGAAACTTCAGCAAAAGCTGGCCTAGGAAACCCCTAGACCACGAGTTCAACCTATTGGACCACACCATAACTTGGGCCAACACACTATTACCTAGGCAAGCGATGACTAAAACTATCCCCTAGTACGAGGTCCCAAACCAACCCACAAGTCAGTGATCAATACCACAGGTTGGGCTATCGATGCCACAACCGATGGCCTGCCACTACTTCTGGCTTGTCAATGGATGGACATTTTAACTAGCCTTGAAATCCGCTCCTATGAGGATTGAGCAGAGGAGCTGGAGGTGCACGCAAGCATTGCCACAACTAAGTTGCTAGCCCATTCATGCCAAGCATAATTCCCTTGACCAAGTTGATATGTTGCATAAGATATACCATAAACAACATGTGGTTACATGCAAAATAGATAAAATGTGAAGAGATGGGGTAGATGGGTACATCAGAACGTTACCCTGAACCTTGGGTAAGCTTATGCCTCATGATTTTTTTTGAAAAATGTTGCTATACATTCTTGTTAAAATGCTATTGAAAACTATTAAACTATTTAAGCTCTAGTTTTGCTAAACTATAGAACTAAACAAAGAAAAAACATCACAAAAGCTAAAGTGTCCCATACATGCATACCTTTCATATCCCAAAAGAGAAATAAAAAAACATGCAGCCGCATTTGTTTAGTAGAATAGGTGTTCTAACAAATAAGATAGTTGGATCCGAAGGTAAGGTAGTGGACTTAGTTACCACTTAATTAATTGAGACACTAATATTTGTGCATATTGCCCAACTGCCATGTGCCAACAATTGGTAGTCAAGGTGGATAAACAAGATGCAATAGGACATTAGAATTGCAAAAGGAGGCTAGTATCTATATATTAATTCTAAAACATACGTCATTACCCTTGGGTGTGGAGCATTGCAGCACCACTATTGCTATGTTAATTGAATTCATCATAGAGGATCACAACCATAACAATTTAATACCATTTAATATCAAGGAACATAGAAAAAAGAAGTAAAGAATGGGAGTGCATGCCTTTGAGTGTTATAATGAGTTGAGAAACAACCATGAAATTTAAATTTGAGATCAACTCCTAAATGGAATAAGTAGTATAGAGTGTTTGACAACCATTCATCAAGTGAAAAATGATTCAAGAAAAGCACATACAAAATAAGTTAAGAATGGACACTATTGTAGGGAAAATGTACCCTATGGGCCATTAAGTTTGATTTTGGTGTTTGATGGACAACATGACCATTTGGACTAATGATGTTTGCTAAGTATAAGGTAGAGTTCAAATGGATCAAGGTGGACTTGGACTTAGGCAAACGGTGATCCGGATGATCAACACCTCAAGTAAGACATTAGAAGACATGCAAGAAGTCCAAGGCACAAAGTGGAACCGACCTGGATGCAAAGATCATGAAGAAACAAGTCAAATGGGGTTGTTACAACAGTACCAGATTAGTCTGGTGTCCACTGGAGGGTAGCTCTAGACCAAGCAGTCTGTACAGTGCAGAGCTAGGGTTTTGACCCTCACTAGATTAGTCCGGTGTATACAGAAGACAAGCACTGGATCATAACGGTGGCCACCAGAAAGTTTCCAAAGGCTGAAAATAGCCACCGGACTAGTCTAGTGAGGAGAACCAGACTAAAGGCTATAGTCAGGTGAGTTCAAAATACTGGAGCCAGAAGAAAAGTACTCACTGGATTAGTCCGGTGGTAGTAGGGGTCAGCGCATCAAACTATGTGTTAACCCAATGGTCGGCAAGACTAGTCCAATGGCTAGTCTCAAGAGAGGCACTAGATTAGTTTGATGACCCGCACCGGATCGTCCGATGCAGGTTCCAACAGCTAGTTTCAAGGTTGGGGGCTATATATACCCCCTTGCCCGGATAGTTGAGTGTTTGTGGAGATCAAAGAATTTTTGTATGAGTTGAGGCTCATCTCTAGTTGCTCTAGCCACAAAAGTGCTTAGTGTTTCACTCAATAATTAGCATAGGTGCTTTGTGAAGTGCTCCGGTTAGTTAGATCACCACTTATGCGCTTGCTCTAGGTTTAGCCCTAGTGTTTAGCGAGGTTTGCATACCTCTTACCACACGGTGCTTGTGTGCACCATCTTTGTACTCAGAGGGGCTTCTATTCTTGTGAGATCACACCAACCATGTTTGTGATGTGGCCACCACCAGTGTAACAGAGGGAACGAGGCCCACGGCGTTTTGGACGAAAGCTCGATAGTGAAGACGTCGGGGAACGGTTTGGGAGAGGCCATCTTAGAGACCCACTTACGTGTGGGAGACTCGCTATCCTCGGATTTACCCGACCGAAAGCTTGGCCCTTGTGAGGGCATCCTTGCTAAGGGCTCCAATGAGGACTAGGGGGAAGTGAGGAGAACATATAGTCAATTTGCCATGTAAGCAATTAGATATTGAATAAGAAGGTTTGGACCTCGAATGAAACACTTAACAATTTTGGGGACATGTCGGGGTTATAACCCCGGGGTGTCTTAGGGCACCGATTAGTTAGCAGGCCACGTGGCCCGCAATACGCTAGCTGGCGAAGGCCCAAACGACCGAGGCCTAGCTGAGCCGAGCAAGCCAGGCCGGACGCTAGGGCCAGGGTCGGCCACGACCTCTTCATCCTGGCTTAGCCACACGGCACACGAAAAGCTTACGACCTCGCCCCTGTCATGACCCCTAAAAGGGACGGGGAGAGGTCGAGCTCCGCTGAGTACACATACTATGGCAAGGGCAGGCACGCCACACTAACCCCGTAAGGATAGAGGGGACAACAGTCACCTCGGTCCGGTCAGATGCTAGCCCTACGCCACAAAGGTCGGACAAGACAACACCATCCTGAGGAGATGATGACAGGCACGACAACCATCGGCCAGATACGGCCCTACAAGATGCGTGGACAATCTCACCCACTATGGAATGGGATCCACGATGGGGGCCTTGACTTAAAGGCCACCCGGACCGACGAAAGCCACGACCCCAACGATTGGGATCGTGGCCTTCAGCTCCTCAAAGACGACCAGGCGATCGATGACCTAAGGGTGGCTAACAACTCATGTACCACACCTAGGAAACTAGGAGACAAGGACAAAGACCACGGTGGAGATCACATGGCATAGGACAACTAGCGAACTACCACCGTGCCTACAGTGTTGCCATGGCCGGCACAGTGGGCACCACGCCACACCCTGTTGCGACGTGGCCGTAAGGCGGTGATGACAGCCATTCCCGGACGTGCTCCACAAGATGGCGTGGCTTGCAAGCCAAGTTAGCTAGGACCTCTCTTAGGCTCATGACCCTTCGATAAGGAGAACCTCCTGCTTTGTATGCGCCCTGGCCTCGAACTCTATATAAGGGTAGCCAGGGCACCCTTTCTAGACATTCTGAATCCTCTACCATTCCATTCATTTACCATTGTAGTAGGGCTCTTGGAGCTTCTCTTCAGGCAGCCCTTTGCCTAGCATAGGAGCATCCATCTCTTCCACCTTTCTTGCACCCCCACTATAAGAACTTTAGAGTATTCAAGCGAGGAACACGCACTCGATCATCTCTGAGACTGGACGTAGGGCTCCAGCCTGAACCAGAATAAATCCTCATGTCTATTGGATGCTACCATCGTCTTCCTAGAGCAGCGTGGCAATTGTATAAGTTTACTAGTCCGGTTTATAAAACACCGACGGGACATGAAACATAAAACTAAGGGCCCATTTTGTTTGTGGTATTAGGCCCAACGTTTATGAATTGAAATTAGGATTGGAAGAATATTGTTGTCTGGATACATTATGAAATATAATTGTCATCGGAGTCCAATACCAACTAGAGTTGAGTACATCAGGAGCTAGCCCATCTTCCAATTGGACCTCCACCCCTCTTATGTGTGTGTAGTGGTACAAATGTCATTGTTCCATGGTTGTTTACCAAATTGTCATATGTTGACCATAAATAGTTGAAACCTCACCATTTTCCTTGATGTGACACAGTATCCAACATGGAGCGAGTGGTTGGAATGATAGTATTGTGCTCCTTCTTGGAGCATCCTTTCTTTCTACTGTGATTTCCCTAATGGTCAATCTTTGCCTTGTGTTGTTGCTAGTTGTTTGTGGTTGCCTTACTTGACATAGTTTTGATCGCTAGCTATATCATTTCGCTACTGCGTGTTGCATTATGCTACCATCATGCGTGCGCTCTCATTATCGAGTGTTAGTTCATGGAATTAGCATTCATTTACTTTGCTAGTCATCCAGTCACACTACTTGCCCTCGATTTTGACAATGAACTATGGATTCTGAGCCATCTAGCGTCATTTCTGACAGTAGCCATGGGCTTCCACTCCATGGATGGCTTGTTAGTTGTATTGTCATTTTTAAACTTTAGGAAATCAGCAAGGTCACTTGCCTTGGAAGGATAGGGTTGCTGCATTAGATGCTCCCAACTAGGTGCCATGCACTATCCTCGACAATGACTTGATGTGTTGTAGCCACCATCATCCTTCCTGCCTTGCTAATGCACCACTATTCCACAAATGACTAACATGCATGGATTGAGGTGGTGATAAGGATGGTAGTCTATGAGTCGTTATGGAAGACGATGCCTAGTGTTGGTTGGGATCATATAGGTCGAATCTGATGGTGGAGCCTTAGCTAGAGTCATCATTGTCATTATCACGGTCGGGGATCCTGATATGAGAGACCAATGCATAGAGCCACGTGGTCACTTCCATGGGCTTCATTGTCTGTGTATAGTGTGGAAAGAATGTGGAGAAGAAGGGTGTGGTGGTCAATTGCTCTTATGTGGCAAGCCATCAAGGAGAAAATGACAAATATACACCAATTTATGGTCCTTATTTGGCAATTGATAAATAAACTAGGAATAATTACATTTGAGAACATGTTGAAATGTCAACTACCCCAATTTTGGTGGATGTCTCCCTCCATGAAACATGAACTCATACTCAAATCCAAACTTCTCCCTGATTGGAAACCTCATGGTCGGACTCTTCCCCCCTCCTCGATCTATTGGCAACCTTGCTTCCTTGTTGGATACCTAAGTAACAACCCAACATGTTATATTAATCCAATCCATTTCAAGTAATTTCATCCTTCTCTATCGTTATTAACATCTTGACACAAGGTTCTTCTTCAACATCTGCCCCACCACCATCAATACCAAGAAGCAACTACAAGGTGGAAACAATCGATTGGATGGAGACCTTTCCCTAGCAGATTTTAGGACAGTTGTAAGGGTGTAAGATCCACAGTGATCGCTGCGAGCTCTGGCAATGGCTACTCCATGGATGACCACTACTAAAGGAACAATGGCCACTAACATTCATCAATTTCCATGGCACCACCGCTCCAGTGAGTTTTATGGACACAACTATGAGAGCAGATTATTGTTAGATAGTTTAGGAGCTCATAGGACAATTAGTCCATGAAGGATGATGTGTCAAAGTTAGAACATGGGAAAGATGATAATTTGTTATTTCCTTAGATGGATAAGGATGACTTTCAATTTAGCTAATAAATGTGAATTAATTAATAGAAATCAAACAAGAATTGGATTTGAGAAGAATTGCATTTCCATGATACAATTTTTTGGTAGCATATAATTCAAAGTGGAGAGCAAGTCATTTTGCCATTAGATTTAGATTTGAGAACAAATGCAATTCATCCACTCCAATTAGTGTACCTATTCTTTTTTTATTGAAAACATTTTTCAAGAAAAAACTGGTGACCCTTGAAACACTGACAAGAACATATATACTTTGGATCACTAAGGGGCTTCTTGGCATTCATGACATTCCTAACAAATGTACTAATAAAGGTAAAAAAACTCAAAAGCCTTAAACCCTGAATGGATGATGGGGAGCTAAGAAATAATATATGTGCTAATTGTTGACGAAGTTAACAAGTAAAGAAATCATGGTGGCCAATAATGATAAATGACAACTAGAGGGTACACAATAGTAACATTGAGTACTAAACTATGAACAACACAATTCTTTTATCACATATGTTAAATCCTATTTCTTTAAAGATAGAAAAAAAGAAAATATCCCTTTTGCTCCTGAGTATGTGAAACTCTTGACAAAACATGGTCTCTGCAAAATTACTTGCATGTGTTTATATACTAAAATAGAAGTATAATATATATTGCCATCTATTCCGATACTAAAATACTAGCAGTGGTAAAAAGTACCAAAGCACTCCTCATAACAAATCTAATGAGACAATTTTTCATTTAGCTAGGTAATACAGACAGTTTTATATAGAGTACTGGCCAAGTTAGGGAATTTTGACCATTGAAATTATAAGCATCATATATTTTTGAAGAGAAAGAAAGTACTATGATACCATAAAACTTTGACTAATGACTAATCAAATTCTAAACTATGAAATATTGCAAATATTGACTATGTTGGTAGTGGGCTTACCACATCATAGACTTGGAAGTGACAACGAAGGCGGAAAACCAGTATATAGGTTGACATGTAGAAAGGTGTTGGCCAACGGACACACCTTCTCAAGCCGCATAGTGTCCAATTCAAGCAAGAAATAGTCTGCATGTATGCTCCCCCCTTGTCTATTATTACACATATACCGAATATGTGTCCCATGCAAGAGTAAGTATCGTTCGGCTGCACCTACAATGATGAAGTTAGAGAATTTGGGGAACTGGACTGGGAGTTTCTTCATAACCTTCCACATGTTGACACTTCCAGCTTCGCAATGCCTAACAGAGTAGAATAACTCATGCTTGTAAGCTTCCTTTTGTATTGTAAACATCTCAGGATTGCCATCTCTAGCCTTAACAATGGCAAAACACTTGTCACGGTTGCTTATAGGAGTGACCTTGTCAATAGAGAACCCCATGATGCTTGTGTCAAGCACTAGCAATTCATTAAACTTTCCAATCCATCCTCTAGTAGAAAGAGTCACCGACGCAATAGCGCTTGCGAAGCCTAAACCAAGATTTCTTGATGTTGGTACCCTTGGTGAAAGTGCTCCAGTTTTGAAAAGGGAAGGAAGACCATCGACCATTGGACGAAGAGAATTCGAAGGCCACCAACTGAGATTTGTGCACTGCCATGTAGATTACCCTAAAGGACCCCTCCTCTTGGCTCGCGGGCACGAGGAACATCTCTAGATGCAAGTGATGTTGTTGCAGGATGGGTGCAACTAGGTCATTGGGGATCAGGGGAAGTAGCGCATATCATCGAGACATGGGGTCTGCAACAGCAAACTCTCTTGCTGCCATGGAGTTCCCGAGGAGGACACGTTCATCGCGGATGTCACGGAGCAACCAGGGCCCCACAGATGGGATGAATGAGAATGAGAAGTCGGCGATGCGCATGAGGGCACGGGCATGGGGCGCAAACTGGTGGGGCTCAGTAGAAGCATAGAATCTACCATATAAGAAGCCTAGGTAGGGCGTCGGGTGGGTTGAGCGGAGGCGGCGGCGGCGGCGGCGAAAGGAATGGTCGGCAATGGCACGACGGAAGGTGGAGCAAACGGTGGCAGCGCGCCCGATGTCGGCGAGGGTTGGTAGGCGATGGAGGATGTCTGCGATGTGGTCATCCGTTAGCCTCAGTAGCAGCGAGGACGCGATGATGCGCTTCGCATCTGTCTCGTCCTCCAGAGTGGACATTGTGGCGGTGGTGGGGAGGTAGGGTTTAGGGATCGCTGCCACCCACCACACTTCGAATTTATACCACATTGGGCGAAATGGGCCAACACTAAGAGTTGGGCCACAATATTGACTTGGTGGGCCTGGGCTTAATTAGAGGGCTAGAAATTCCAAAATGCTTCGTCGTGTGGTAGCTATTGTAACAACCCTGGTGTTACGAGCTCGTTTAGAACCTTAATTAAGGCATAAAAGAAATTTATTATCTAGGCTCTCGTGTTTTAAAGTTTTTAAACTCACATAAGATGATAAAAACAAATTACCCGTGTTTGTGTGTAGCTTAGGTTCGCGATGAGTACCCTGGCTTGGTGTAGGCCGTAGGTGTGTTTGACTTGCATGGGCCTTGCCGAAGTTGTAGCCACGACCTCCGTTGTTCCGTCGTGGCTCTGTCGTGTCCTCACGCGCTCTGCACCCGGCGTGGCCGTTTGCCTAAGTCATCGTCCTTCTCTCTCGCTTGGGTCGTGTCCAAGTTTTAACACCTTGTTTAGTTGCACCCTAACTTCCAAAAAAGTGCTACAGTACCTGTCATATCGAATGTTTATGGCCCATGCATGGAGTATTAAATGTAGACGAAAAAAAACTAATTGCACAGTTTGGTGGGAAATTACGAGACGAACGTTTTGAGCCTAATTAATCCATGTTTGAACACTATTTACCAAATAAAAATGAACATGCTACAATAGCCCCAAATTCCAAATTCCTACAACTAAACACACCCTAATGGGAGTGACCAGCAACCGGCACCGGTGCCGTGCTCTTGACAGCACCACCTGTGCCTCTGTCTGCCTCTGTGCCGAGCCGAGCACCCGTCGTGTCTGTGTCAACGTCGTCGCGGGCATGCAACGCTAGCTAGCAGACGTGAACTGCTGAGCAGGCCAGGCCGCACCCCACGTAGCCATGTCGGGCCTATCCTGTCTTGCCTGCATCCATCTGGGTTTTCCTCTCCATTCCTTTTTCTTCTCTGCTGTGCCGAGGAGGGAGCGTCCCAGCCCAGAACTCCACTGCCCCGCCGTTCCGGTTCTACCGCTCCTTCGATTCCCCTGCGTGCCCGCTCCCATCCCTTTTCTCCTCCTCACTCGCGCAAGGCCACAGCGACCCCGCCACGGCTCCATCCGCTGATTCCAGCCTCCCCCGCTGCTCTGCTCACGGCGCCGCTTCTCCCTGGTGCTCCTCCACCGAGCCTCGGAGGCACCGTCTCGGTCACCTCGCGTGGAAGCGCTGTGCACGCGCGCCTTTCGGCCCGCTGCCGCCAAGGCGCCCTTGATTCGCGCTGCTCGCCCGCTGCCGTTGCCGCCTCAGGCTCCCACCACCGGTGCCGCTGCGCCTCGCTGGAGTCCACGTCGAACCCGCAGAGCTCCTCGACTGCTGCACCCGCGCGTCCCCTCTGCTCTCCCATGCGCCATGGCGGTAGCCGAGCCAGCCGAACCACGACCGCCCAAGCCCGCAGGCGGCTCCACCTCGCCTCGCACCCCCGTGGCTCCTCCTGAGCCCGCTGCTGGTTGCCTTGTCCCGCGCCGTGCCTCACGCCGTCCATCGCCATCACGGGCCGGCGTCTCCACGCCGTGCCGGTGCTGTGTGGCAGCAGCCGTGCCACCTTGGCATGCTCCCCGCATGGACGCCGTGACCGCTCTGTCGTCCGTTGCCGCACCCGAGCCTCTAGCGCCACCGCACGCAAGTCGCCGACGTGTGGACAGCCACGGTCGTGCTTTCCCCGGCTCCTCCACGCCCTTGCCGCCGCCGTCAGCCATGGCCTTCGTCGTGCTCTGTTCGTGGAAGGAGAAAGCAAGGTGAGGAAGGGTGGAAATCCAAGGAATAGAAATACGCAGGGTGTTTTCTGCAAAATACATGACTCATTGAACAGTAATCTGGACCTTGGATTGATTATAGAAGAGCGTAGGGGCCACTTCACAAAAACGCCGCCGCCGTTGTCTGGCCCTGGCTGGGTGGGCCGGCCTGCTCATCGCGCCGCGCATGGGCTGTTGGCCTGCCTGCCGCTGGCTGCTGCGCGCCGGGCTGGACTGCTGCTTCCCCGCCTGGGCCGCCAGTACGCTGCTGGGCCACCTGCATCGCTGCCGCACCGCTGGGCCGGCTGGTGCTGCCTCCTGGGCTGCTTGCTCGCGGGCCAGGCCGAGCTGGGCCGTTTACTGACTGACGGCCTTCTTTAGTTGTAGAGTATTTGATAGTTAGCTTATAAAGTAAGCTTGTAAAATTCGTAGAAAATCATAGAAAAATCATAAAAATGTCAAACCAGTTTTGTTAGTCTCCTAAAATCGTGATCTACCTGCTAGTATGATTTGTTCACAAAGTGGATAATATTCTTAGGAAGCTATATAATTAATTAGAGATAATTAATATTACGAAAAGGTAAACTTGTAGGAATTGGTATGGTAAATTGGTAATATTGTTGAATCTGAAATTTGTATAGTAGACTCCTAGCAGTAGTAGTTACTCACCGTAATTTTTGTCGCTCCGGAATAACTAGTTGCTAATTAGATAATAATGTCCTACTACGAGTAGACATTAACGATAGGATACAATAAAGAAACCACTTGGGTGTATATAACTAAAACAATTGTTGGGAAATAACGCCTTATCCGATAACGTGTATATGTAGTCTAAGTACGGTCGTCGTTAGAACTAGCTCGTTCACTTGAGAGACGTAGAGCGTATTTATGCGAGTCACGATTGCAGTCAGCTGATCATACCCTTGCATTTCATTACATTGCATATCATGATAGGGAAGTCGATGGATCACGGAGTCATCGGGAGTTGCTGAAGAAATGGTGCTTTTGGAGATCATGTCGCCATGATGGAAAGCTAACTTCTGATTATATTTTTCCCAAGCAAGCCCCGGTGCATAACTCCTACTTTTCTGCAGTTTAAATTATATTTGTGCATTAAGTTTTAAGGAGTTGAATGAAATCCACTTGCATATATATCTTTATCCTATGAGTCTTACTAGTATGACAGGATCGTGTAGATTGCTATGCTACAGGACTCCGGTAGAAGTCGAGTGATTGCCTATCACTTGCGAGATATAGGAAATATGTTACTATATGATTATCACCTGGAATATATAAATTGGTGGAAAGGAAAATGGTGACCGGGCAGGGATATGGTTTGGGTATTGGTGAGTGTAAGGAGTCGTGTCGCCGTGGACACGGGGCATAGCTTGGTTACACTGTTTTTCCTTGTCTGGTCGGTTAAGGACCGATCGTTGCATATGACTCTGGGCAGGTCACAGACTTATTATCCCGAGCACATACTTGTGTATGGGCGCTTGGAAGACTTGTTGCTCTCTTGTCGCGGATCCGGCTCTTTCCGGACCGACTGTCAGGGTTTGTTTTTGGTGGAGGAGGTCCTTGCACCGCACTGAGTCCGGGACTCAGGGGAGGGGGCTTGGAGTCCCAGTTTGGACAGGGACCTGGACACCCGGGACAGGAGAGTGATGGGTTGGTCCTGCTTGTGCCTGGGGTACAAGCGGGGCGTGTGTTTTCGGGGTACCCAGCTGGGGGCATTGATTCACGAATCGCCGGGCTATCCGGTACGGCTTGTCTATGGTTTTGCATCGTAGTAAGAACTGAAGATGAAAGATGGAAGATGGAAAAGGAAATCTGATTGCTTACCACTTGCTTGAAAGTAGCACAAGTGCTTACATAGAATGGTTAGTTAATGAACCAATGCGGCTATTATTAAAAATCAAATGTAAGGACGCACGCTTAGTAATGCTTTCTGCAAATGCAACCCACAAACCAGATAGCCATGCATATCCTTGGAGTCTTTTCTTTTCTCCTGTCGGGTAAGTCTTGCTGAGTACAATTGAGTACTCAGGGTTTCATTCCCCCTGTTGCAGGTGACAGGTGGATGCTTGAGCTGACCTTTGTGTGTGGATTCCTCTTGGTGGGCTCAGAGAGGATTTCCTTTACGCTGCGATCGTAGTTGCTATTTATAACTCTCACCAAATGCTTTTATAAATGAAAGTTCATAATCTGTTGTCGTAGTGTATATATCAATACTTCATCATGTCATTAATAGATGTTTATTTCCGCTGTAACTCTGTTCACATGTTTCTATTCCGCTGTTCAATTAAATTGTTTATAACCCTGATAAGATGATTTCATTCCGCTGTTATATTAATAAATATTATACTCTGATGTATTAAAAGTGATGTAAGAAATGGTTACGAATGATGCAAGCTTTATTCTCTCATTTGTGATCCTGATGGCAAAAATGTGGATTTTCGGGTTCTCCCCTGGGGTGTGTCCGACGGAACCGAGTAATTTAGTGTTCTCCCTCGAGTGCTTAGTGTCTAATGGAAGACAAGCACTCCTGTGAGGCATTAGATTAGGCGGTTCTGCCACAGCTATCACCATCTAGAAGTGCTTCAACACACCATAACATGGAGATGACCGACATCAAAAGCAAAAATTTCATTACTCTGTCATTGCCATGCTCCTATCTAGACCCTCCTCTTATTTTGTCGCCCTCATCACTCTCCATCTCTAGCCCCACTTGCACTCACCAACACACCCCTTTTGTTTCTTTAATACAGAAAAGAATTGCACAACTTTGCATTACTTGACACGTCATGTTGTAGCATGTGCCAAATATGATAGTGATTTACACGAAACAAAAGAACCACTAAAGATTCAAGCTATGCTATCTAGCTATATACTAATGACTAGAAAACCAAGTTTGGAGTCTTACAAATCTTTCGTAACTAAGGGACTTGAGATGCCTCACTATGAAATAACCCTATGTTCTGTCCTTTCCAAATATGCCAGGTGACTAGCATGATGATTGAGTCGAACCACATAATGTTGCTTGACTGGTATGTTCTTCAAAAGTATTTCCAATGATCAACCAGTTCAGCCACCTTTGATGGTGAACACCATGGCAGGTTTACAGGTGACACAGTCTCCCATTAAACCTGTTTTTGCTTACAAGCATGAGTTGAACAAGTGATTACAAGATTTTGGCTCCTATTTGCATGGTCGGCATGTCGTCCTCGCATAAAACTTAGCTAGGGCAAACTCGAGCGACGGAACTAACCCAAATGTAGAAAATGCATATGCACCGCATTTACATATTCAGCCTACTCGGAAGTGATTGCCACACAAGTGCCGTGCTTGTTGCCGCTGCAGCAATCAGGGCCTGTTTGGCAGCCGGCCACACAACGCCACGCCCTTACTGCAGCGGCGCTACACTATGTGGTGTAGAAAAACAACGCCACAACTATAGCGAGAAAAATGCTAGAAATGAACTGAGGATCGTATGGCGTGCTGCACGTTAGTTGTGAACAACTCATCTACTTTTTTTGTGGCCGCCGTAGTCAGCGAGTTAAGGCTGGCAACCTAATAGCTTCTCACTCATGTAGTTACTATTCATACCTAAAGAGAACTAGGAGTGGCAGCGACAGCAGCTGGTGGAGTAGCACAGTCGAGCCGAGCAGCGCCATTACAATCATATAGAAGCCATAAAAGTGGATGAACAATAGAAAGGCCCCGTTCGGCTGGCTGAATTTGGCTGGAAAACGCTGTTCCGGCTGAAATGTTGTGAGAGAAAAACACTGTTTCGGCTGAAAAAACAAGCTGAATAATACCATTTTTGGGGTAAGCCGAACGGGGCTAAAAGGATGTTTCAAAATGATGCCGCTAATTTGAACAATAAGTTTATGCTGTAGCTCAATTCAAAATACATCAAAATAAAATTAATCAATCTATAGGTATGCTCTAAAAATATATATCCATAATTTATGTAATGATATATATCCGGTATCATAAATATTTGTGTTTTTTATATAAACTTGGTCAAACTTATGATGGCTTGTGTTTAGGACAAAGCTAGAAGTGCACTTATTTTGGGATAGAGATGTGACTATGTGTGTAGTCTATATGATGAAATTGTATAGTCAATTTGTCATGGAATTGTGGTATTGCATCATATTGCAATGTGAAATTGTGAGATTGAGTGATGTGGAAATGGGTGAATTTGTACGTCAAATTGGGAGGTTTCATTTTAGATATGCAAATTTCATGATGTCTGTTAGCAATGGAATTTTGATTTGCATTTTGATGAAAATGTATGTCTATTAGGATATATCACTTTCCACATTTGGAAAAATATTTTGAATTTTGATGTTGTGCTTGAAATCATGAATTTGAATATGATTTAATTCTATGTATTATAAAGATTTTTTCCTTTGAATTGTTGTGCGAATTAAAGAACATATAAAGAATGTGGAAATATTAAGTACAAATCACATATTTGGTGGAATCGGGAATAACCCCTAGAAAAACACACTAAGGTGTTTTCAAAAAATTGGAAACGACACATATCTACAGTGCATCTATAGATGTACATTACCCCAAAAATGGAGATCCAAACTCAATCTAAAGTTCATATGAAAACAAAAAAAATCTAGTTGGATATGCACTATAAAAGAAAAAATCTTAGAAATTCATCTTCTAGTGTGTATTATGTACCTTAAATTTTTATTTTTTACGTGACTTTTTAGAAAAACAAGTTTGGATCTCGATTTTTTTGCGATGTGCCTCATTTAATTTTTAAAACACTTATAGCATGTTTTTCTAAGGTGTTTCATGATTCCATCGAAGATATAGTTTTGTACTCAATATTTACCCAAGAAATATGGGCTGAGATAGAGGGGGCTTAGGAGTTAGGATCTAGCGGGAGCCACTGCTTGGCATTTAAAGGGTGCGTTTGGCAGAGAGAGACATTTCAAATTCTCATTAGAATCACAGAACCATAGTCAAACACCATGAAGAGAGAAATGTTTTAAGAAGGATCACTTAGAATTGATTCTCGTTTTTATACTAGTATAAAGAAACACCCTAAACTTGGTTTTTCCTTATTCTAGTTCTACTTTCAAGAATCTAGCGAGCTAGTCAAACGATTTCACGACTTAATTCCAATTCATTAGAGAAACATTTTTAGAGAGAATCAAGATCTAAAACATTTCTACAAGAATCTAAAATGTTTCTAGAAGAATGCGAGTCCCTGTCAGGCTACTCTAGGTCCAAGTCCAACACACCCCTAGGGGCTACTCTAGTCCTGGATACACCTAGTAGCAGCAAGTCACACAAAATATCCTGTTCGGCTTACCTTAAATCCAGCTTGTTCGGCTTCTTTTTCAGTTGTAACCGTGTTTTTCTCTCACAACATTTCAACCAGAACAGTATTTTTCAACCAATTTCAGCCAGCCGAACGGGGCCAATTGAAGTCATGGCATTGAATAGATGTTGGGGATTCAGTCTCGGATGACGCGGGTAAACTAATACTCAAACATCGTATGACGATACATGAATGTGGTTAACTCTATTGTATATAAATTTCATGTCTGGTATTTTGGTCATTTTTACAGACTCAAGTATGTCTTCCGAAGCAGCCACGGTATTTGATATCTTGGCTTGCTGAGGAGAGTAAAGTCTTCGCTGGAAGAGCCTTCGCCATTCGATCCTTCGTGAGTTTCCTTCGGTCCTTGTCATTGACCGAAGATGCTTAATCACCTTTGCTCCGTGTATTAGCTAGCCTTGGCATCGCGTCATGTTTGAGTATTAGTTTACCCAACAATAGAATATTGAGCTTAGGTGGAGTGAAGTCCAGATGGCTATCCACGACTCGGATTAATACAAACGTGTATATATCATAGGAAAGGCAGAGCGATCTATTTGAGATAAACAATACTCCATCTTAGAATATAAATCCATCCCATCCTGGAATATAAAGTATTCAAGCGTTGGAAATTTGTTAAAAAAGGATCATAGATGAACTAACCATCCAAATAAACGATACTCCCATCTTGGCATATAGATCCTTCCCATCCTAGAATCATAGAATATGAATATAAAGTATCCAAGCGTTGAAATATTATTCAAAAACTACATATCCTAGAATCATAGAATATGAATATAAAGTATCCAAGCGTTGAAATATTATTCAAAAACTACATAGGACCATAGATGAACTAACCATCCAACCGAGTTTAAAAAGGCAACATTTACCTTCATACCTACCATTAGTGTCTAAACCCAAATAGAATTATCAATGATGTATAAAAAATTGTTTGATACTGCCAAAAAGTATATATATATTGAGGAAATTAGTTCTGACCCGTTGTTTATGAAACAGTAAAGAAACATATTACATTGAGATGTATAACCTAAACTGGAAGAGAGGAACGTCTACCTGCAAACTGAAATCAATCAACATAACCAAAATGACGTAATCACCATGACGTGCCAACCCAAGGAAGAACCGAAATGAGAAACACCCCATGACGTACCAGGTACCACCCTAGGGCAGAACCGAAATGAGAAACAGAGATGGCATTGAAGTGACCTGACAGCCTGAACCCCGCCCATACATACATCAGAGAATCCAAGGCACCGTCACGGGAAACATTGTATATCAGGAAAATGCCGCTAAGTTAACCGACTATATCTGATCACAAAGGAATATTTGGTCAGAAGCCCGCAGGAGGCATTAAGTTCAACCTACAGTTCCCCCGAATACCAACTAATATTGGTTAGCAGACTTCTCCCTGTGATCACAAAAATATTCCCTGATACTCTTATGGGGGCCTAGCTAACTGCTTCAGCCATCCACAACCCTTCATTGACAGTAGCTTACAACCAGCATCAACTCTGAAAAAATGGGTGACCCATCGCCTTCCATCTTATAAATAGTGTACTGTCAGGTACAGCAAGTAGGAGCAGCGTCAGAGGGATGTTTTACAGTACATCAAAAAGGCCGATGGGTATTTGGGTGCGAAGAAAGTAATCTGCTTGGTGACCGCACCCGTTGGTAATCTGTCATCAGAAGAAGAGTAGTTCAGAATATTTAGTTCAAGGTTAAGTCTTCAGGCCAAAGAACTAGCCAATAACAATATTTACACCTGGACTAGAACAGACTTACCAGGTAACAATAAATTATGTGCCTACATGAAGGCGTCCAACTTTGATCGCTTAAGATGTTGTGGTCTGAAATCAACCAAATTTAAACTTGAAGTTGACTTAACCTCATTCAAGAATGAATCCCCTTTGTCTGATTTTATGGAATCCAGAACTGCACCAAGGATGTCAGCCGCAGTACCATCTTGTATTAGGTACCCAGGTTCTTCTCCACCTTCTTGAATCAATTTACCTACCTCTTGCAAGAGCAATATGCTTTCCTCCACAAACCTTGCAAGAAGTCGTCCAAGGTATTCGGTGGCCCTTGGAGCATCACTTAGAGTATCTTCCAATGAGGCAAGAACAGATGAAAGGCTAAAATAATAATCATTTAGTCAGTAATAATACAATGCAGACTGAATGGCGATATACTAGAAAGTATGAGAAAGCACCTACCCATCACTGAGTTGTTGTTTGCTCAACAAATTATGTCGACCACTGCAAAGGCTGACGAGAAGTTTAGCCAACAACTCTCTTTCCATATCTTTTCTCTCAAAGGAATCATTTACCCAAAGTGATACAACAGAAGGATAGAAACTTGGAGCATTCAACTCCTCAATACACAAAGCAACCTCCTTTTCATCTTTTGCACTGCCCAAACAGAAGCATATGATGTTAGGAAGAAAATTGGACAGTGCGGGGTGCTAGAACTAACTCTTTATGACATATCAGGAGAATTATAATTATAACAAACAGTACAAGGAAAGCCTCAATCCATAACATTAATTTCATAAACATAGTACACGTTTGCAGATATCCCTGGAGTAAAACTGTCTGTGAGTAGTAACACGTTTCCTCAGCTGTTTCTAAAGGGTGTTTCTAAAGGTGTACACTCCAATACGTAAGAACAATATGCCCATGGTTTTTGAGTCGTCGTCTAGGCATTGAGGCGTACCCCAGGCGTCGCAGGACGCCACAGGGTTTTAGTTACGCCATATCGCCTAGGCGTCACCTAGAAGGCGCCTAGGCGTCCAGGCGTACCCCCAGCGCCACAGGACGCAACAACGCCTCAAAAACCATGAATATGCAACCTAATCTCAGGAACATGAGTAAATTAACTCTGGAATTTGTGAATAATAAAAAGAAATGCAGTAATATAAAGACATTTTTTAACCTAGCATAGTAAAACATGGGCCTACCTATCAACGGTGAAATGCTTATGAACTGTAAAAAATTTAGAAGTATTACCTGTAATATTCCCGAATGGCCGAAACAGATTTTTCTCTCAATTCATCCTCAGAATATGATTTACTTCCTGAACGGCCTTCCTGGCTGGCAGGCCTCTGTGAAGGTCCAGCAGATTGACTAGAAGCAGGAGTTCGGCCAGAGGTTCGATCTGGAATTCTTGAGCTAGAATCTTCTCTTCCAGATGATGATGTCCAATCAGCCGCAGAGTTATAACCATTAGAACCAGATACTATCCTCCGGTGGTCAATAACAGAAGGAAGTTCAGTATTTGATACTGGTGGCTGCCCTCTTATAGACATACCCCTAGCAAGGCCACCTTGTGGCCCAAGAGTGATAGCTTCATCCTTGACTGCCCGCTGGGGAAGAACAGTTCTATTGTCGTATCGGATGTCTTGTGAACCACGCGAATGTGGAGGCATTCCTCGAATGCTCCCTTGTTGGGAACTTGGGGATGCTAATGCAGATGATCCACGGGGGCCATAATCCATAGGAGGTGCTCCTCTTCTTGGAACAGAACTAACAGCTGGACCACGCCCTAACCTACTCGACTGAGCATGTCTTTCTTGAGCTGCATCTCTGTGAACCTCCTCGATCTTCTTGGGACCTTCAACTTTACGCCTCTGCTGCCATTTATTTCTCCTGAGGTCAATTGAATCTCTCAGCATAAACCGTACACGAGAAGACAACTTCTGACTTGTTGACATCTTCTGCATCATACCAAAATAGGCATCCATGTGCTCCTTTGCCTTTGCATGATCAATCATCTCACCAATTGTACTCATCAATTTGCATAGTGCTTCAATGTTCTCCTCATCGGGATTATCATAATTTCCAAACAACTTTTTAATGCACTCATGCATAATCCTTTCCGTCAACATTTTCTTTTTGTACAACTCTCCAATTAACCTAATGTTTCCCAGCATGCGCCTTCGAGCACGGATCCTCTTTTCCTCCCGTTCTTCTTTGGTTTGTTTAATCTCGCCTTCCTCTTCTGTTTTATCAGCTTCAGCTTCTTCTCTTTCACCCCTCTCAAACTCCTCTTGGCATTTATTCAAAAGCAATCTTTTGAATGTGATCTTTTCATTGTCTTCACTGAAGTCAGGCAAGGCACCAGCCAGATGGAAGCAAAAATTAGCATACATTTCACAGAAAGTTGGTTCCGTCAAAGCTTTGTCAAATATCTGTGAAATGACCCCAGTAAGAGTTGCTACACTGTCAATGTTGACTTCCTTAACTTGTTCAAAAAGTTTTTCAAAGTTTTGCGGAGTCAGCTTGTTAAGAATAGCTTTCAACTGCCTCTGCCTCGCCTCTTCCTCATCAGAAACTTTCCCAACAACATACTTCCTCTCTGCTTTGTGCATTGCTTGCATGGGTGTAACAGGAGAAGGCATGAGACCCTTTTGCTGCCATCTATCAGCATCAGAGCCGCTGCGAGGTACTTGAGGTCCAACAGAATGCATGGGTCCTGCAAGAAGCCCACCACCATACTGATTTGATGGTTGGCCACGTGGATTTCTTAAAACACCATGATTACCTCCTGAGCTACCACGGTAGTTGATAATTGATGGTCCATTTGCCAGGTCCATGTGAACATCACGACCAGGACTGAGAGGAATACCCGCCTTAGTCCACCTGTCGTCAGCCATGGCAGCACCACGGCGGTCACCACGAGAAGTTGGGCGGTCCGAACCCCTTCCAGGACTAGGGTGAGGTTCCCGGTCAACAACATAAGACTTTCCTGCCAAATTATTCATTATTGCATTGACAGCTTCATTCATCTGAAATCCAACAGGAAGACCAGTCCAGTGCTGTTGCAAAGTCAACAGAAAATCCCGTGAGTATTTCTTCCTGCTGTTTGCTTCAGTTGTATCTGAATCTAACACCTGGGTGATGCCAGCCTGGTTTCCAGAATCTGATGGCAGCTTTGGAGTAGACATGTCTGCAGCATCTTCCCAATCATCAGGCTCAACTTTTTTCTTACAGTCATCTGCAGCTGTATTTACATCCCTTTCCGGTTCATCAGGCAGCACATGAGTTGTATCAACTGTTGAAGAACTATCAGCACCCTCCACAGTACCAACAATTTCAGACTTCTCTTCTGGTCCCTTGTATGCATTATAAAGATCTGAAGACCCAGCAGCATCAGCCTTAGCAAGCATTTCCTTTTTATTCTTCTTCTTCTTCCCAGCTGTGGACTTTGTCCTGGCGATCTCAACACTAGGCTTTTCCCTGGATACTGGTCGAACTGAAACTGTTGGTGCAGCAGCCTGTTGATCATCTGCCCTACTCTCAGATTTCGGTTGCCCCTCAGATGAAACTAGAGGAACATTACAAACAGCTAGGTCTGATTCTGGACTAATATCTGAGTCAACTTCGTCATTCGAACTTTGAACAGTATGCTCTGAAGTTCCAGAAGTTGTCACGTCCACAGCATTGCCATCAAGAAAATGTACTGAAGTCTCAGAATTCTTGGATGAGTTATTCATCATAGCTTGTTCCTCAGAAGCAGATGGAGCTGACTCTTTCAGCAACTGCTCCTGATTAGTTACTAGAGGTGCTGCATACGAATCATCAGTATTAGAAGTCACTGCTGATGCCTGTTCAGTGGGGTCCACTGCACATGCCTCAGGCAATCCATGTTTGGTAGCATCAGAAGAAATATTATCCTGGCTAGGATCTGTCGTAACTTTGACAGTCCGCTTGCTTTCGTCACATTCAACAGCCGAAACAGCAAAGCTTTCTACTCCAGGCTCACCAGTACCCTCGGAAGATGGACTTCTTGAGCTATTATCTGTCCCAGGAACATCAGCAGCTGCCAAAGTAAATGAGTTAGAAAAAACTAAGAGGCACCCCTGTACAATTCTAAAGATTTAAAGATCTCACCAGTTACTGCTGTGCTGTCAGCATTTGCTGTACCAGCCCCTGGAATGATCCTCCTTGCTGCCAGTGGAACCGTTGAGCCTGAAGATGAGCTGGTCAAATCCAACTCATTGTTCAGGTTCTTAGTTTCCTGGTGATCACCATCTCCAACCTTTACAGTTTGCACCTTATCTTCAACAGATGAAGCCAACTGAAAAAATACAACATACAAACATGTGAACAAAAGCAAATGCTAAACTAGGAAAAATGCAAACATAGCATGGCAGAAAGAGGCCAACAACAACGTACATTTGGTGGTTCAGATGAATTCCTGACATCCTTTTTAGTGACAATTTTCTTATTATCTTTAAATGATCCAGTCCTTTCAATGGATTCTTTGCTTTCCCCATCAGCTCCAGCCACAGGTGAGACTGAATTCGCAACAGGAGATGCTGTCACTGAAGTTTGTGGTTTTGCACCATGAGTTGGCAAGGACGGGCTTATCACAGTGGAATGCTTCACTGTGACTATAGGATCATTCCTCTCCTCCTTCTCAAGGGTTGATTTACTAGAAACAATGATCCCAGAAACAACTTCATTATCCTTTTGCCGACTTGACGCAGCATCCTCAGCAGCACGTAACTTAGGTGGCTCAGATTTAGCTGGTGGAGCACTTATTGTGACATGAGTCGATTTTTCAGTCAGCAACCCAACAGGGTGCGGTTTAACTGTATATTGGGACTGACCAGATACCGGAGGCGCTGTAGATGGACTGATATATGTCATCGCTTGCCCAGACTGAGTGATGGGATAATTAAATCTAGGACCCGAGGATCCAGTAGCAACTTGGTTCACACCAGCTGGAGTAGAGTAATACATTCCTGACTGATTGTAGGAATTCGGTTGCTGATGAAAGAAGCCCATATGAGGAGCATAACTACCAACAGGCTGGGATTGTTGTGTCAAACTCGGTGCAGCTCTCTGCCCAGAAGAGTCCATCCTCTTATCAAGCTTCAACTCTTCATGAGTGTCTGGATGAGTAATTTTTACGGTAGTCTTACGTGTAGCAGCATGCTTGTTTGGCTGTTGCTGAGGATATTGAGATGCCATGCTCATAGGAATGTTGCCCAGCTGTGGGAATTGGTGAGCAACTGAAGGAACATAACCCATACCCTGGCCAGGATGCATCATTGCTTGCTGTTGCAATTGATGATGCTGCAGAGTCGGGGCATACAGCTGCTGTGGGACTTGCGGTGTACTACTGCCTGTCAATCCTATTGACATTTGAAATGAGCTGGGCACGACTTGAGGCTGCAGTTGTCCACCATGACCACCAAACTGCAAGGAAACTTGTGCCGGCGGGTGGTGAAAGGGGATCGGCATCTGAACACTAGGCATTTGTTGAACGGTAGGTCTAAGAGATGTAACATTGGGGACAGACGGAGATGGGTGCACATCTCTTTTCAATTGTGACGTAATATGGGGATTGATGGAGTTAGGTTGGCTGGAACCAACAGCTTCCTTTCTTGTCGACTGCTGCTGTGGCTGCTGGGGAACCTGCTGTGGTTGATGCGACAGCTGCTGCTGTTGCTTCTGCTGCGGCTGCGGATGCTGCTGCAACAGCTGCTGTTTCGGAGCTGGTTGCACAGGGGCAGGTGTAACCTTAAGTTCCTCCACAAGTGCCTGAATAAGGTATACAAATAAAATAGAATCTTTTAGAACACTGGCAGATTCAGAACGCGTATCAAATCAATACCATCAACACATGCAAAAGGAACTGGCTGTGTGCTCCGGAAGGCAAATTAGTCATGGGACATCAATATTTCTGTAAGTTCTAGCAGTCCAATAAACAAGCACTGAACCAACAAATAAGAATTAACATACATCAGAATATCAGATGAACAAGAGAAGACAAGATACCTGATTACGTTTTTGCTCATCCAAGTTTGGAGGAGCTGAGCTTGTTCTGGCAGGAAATTGCTGTACAAAATTTTATATTTAATAGTTGTAATGTAAGTAGAAAGCAAAAGGTAATTGCTAATATAGAGCTTCATGTCCCAAGCTGGAGATGAAAAAGGGATAACAAAATCGTACCGGCAGCCCATTCATATTTATACTACCAAACTGAAAGTTAAACCCCTTCGATGGTTCTCCTGAAACAAAATATAAACAAGAAGAAAAATAAGGTGGTTAACCATGCAGTATATACCCTATCCTATATGGTCATAATAGACAGAGCAAAGAAGGTGTGCAATGCCACCATAGATGGTCACCATGCACATGTAAAAACATGTACCAGCGTATATAGCATTGAAGAAAATTAAGTCAAACCTTTCGATCCTCCCTGAGGAAGTGGTGGGTTAGAGCTTTTTGGTGGAGCCCTTGGAGCAGCATGTGTAGCTTTCGGTAATGGCGGATTAGCCTGCTTCTCGCTGGCAGACGATGAAGATGACACTTGTGGATCTGGTGAGTCAAAAAAAAAAACACGTGCAATCAAGCAAAGGAACACATTAGGTCATGTTTGCACCATTCCAAACGCAATACAAGATAGCAGAACAGGACACCTCACTCACCTTGGTGCTGCGGCCGTGGCGCGGAGACGGGAACATGCACGGCCGCATTCTGAGGTGCGGGTGGCGGACGCGCAGGAGTTTGGTGGGGGCCAGGCGCGGGTGCAGGCTGGAAACCAGTGGTGTCGGGCTGGTTCACCACCTTCTGGTGCCCGCCGTGGCCATTGCCGGGCTTTCTGAAGCTGCAATCGAGATCCAAGGTTCTCATCAAAACCCTATCATCCCCGGCGAGATCAAACTAATCGTGCGGCGCAGAGGCAGAGGGCAATCAGAATCAACGAGGGCAGTAATTTACCTGCGGTTGGATGAGAGAGGAGGCTGGCCTGAGGAGCCCGCGCCGCCCTTGCCCGCGCCGCCGACTCCGCCTCCGCGGTGGCCGCCGAAGCTGCTGGACCGGCCGGGTCTCCTGGCGTGCCCCTCGCCCCTGTCCCCTCGCTGGGACATAAATCCCCTTCTCTCCTCACCGATCTCCTCCTCCTTCTCCTCCCTACGACAGCCCTGATCCAATCACGCACAGGAACAAAAATAAAACATAAATCACCCTGAGCAACGAAATCGCAACGAACCCTAGTGTGAATCTCTCAGTCGCTCGGCGCCACGGACGGCGGCGGAATCCCGGCGGCGGATAGGCGAGAGGCGCGTACCTGAGGGCCCCGGGGGCGGCGGCGCCTAGGGTTTGGTCGTGGCCAGCGCGTGTAGGCGACACAGGGGAATTGTGTTGGGTTTGGGTTGGGGGAGGGGGAGAAGTGTAAGCGAAGCGAGAGGAAGGGAGAGGGCGTCCCTCTCTAGTAGTATGGCCACCAGCAGCTGCAGCAGCAACAAATCGAAGGCGATACGATTACGGAAGGAACAAAAAGCGTAACTAATCGTATCTGAGGTGAGCTTAAGCGGTCAAGGGGGCCAGATCGGACGGACGGGGCTGGGTGGCTGGCGTCCGCTCGCGGGGCCGCGTTGTGCGCCTTGGGCCTAGTTGGAAGCGGGCACGCGCGCGTGCGCTCCCGGGACACTGCCCGGTTTGTTTGGGTTGGGCCGAGAGGGAGTGCACGATGCCAACGCTGCTGGGGCTGCTATATATATATATATATATATATATATATATATATATATATATATATAAAAACCTAGGTAGCGTGCCCATACGTTGCTACGGGATAGCTAACATTTTATACTAAAAATACACAGATCGTACGATAAGATAACGATACTGTAAAAATTAAATACCAACGTTAAAGTGACATTTAATCCAAAAAACAAAGTTTATAAATTTAACACAGTCACGGAGTGCGCGATGTCGCAGGCTCACAAACTCTACTTTATAGATATTTCCGTGATACGGCTAAGATAATGTTTTATATTGACAAGAAAAAATCTTCGATGTCCATTTCTTTCGTGCGCCAATATATCCACAAACTCCATGTCATCCTATACACAGGTTCGAGTAAATATGTAAATATTAGTGCCTGTCACATGGGTAATACTACGTGTCTTGAAAATTTTCTCACAAAACCTTAAAACAAAGTATGTTATACTCATCATATAAATATGTGTTGTTTTAGATCTATTCCACGCAAACATATACTGTAAATATAAGAAGTGAAAATTTATACAAAAAATAAAACAAAAAATCAGATTTATTAAGATTGATGTCATACATATTGTATAACTAAAAGTAGCTTTTAGCGTGTTCAAATTTCATAGCACCATCAGCCCTGCTTTTGGGTGCGTTTGGTTGAGGAGCTATGACTTCTATAAAAACTACCGCCAGCCTCTTTTAGTTACGAGCGAACCCTAAACGTACTGCCCCTCATCCAAGGTAGGACATTCTCGTTGGACACCAGATGATCAGCAGTTTCGACGCCTCTTTGGCCAGGTTGAATAGTTCACAAAGCCTAAACCGCATTGATGGTGACTCCCTTTCCTTCATCTTCAACTACAGATGGTATGCCGATAAAACACTAACAAAACACGTAGGTGATGTGCGAGACGTGTGGCAATAGTTTAATTTAAGAGACAGCCTAGCTACATAGCAAAAAAAACACTACACATTTCATAAGCACAACATGAACTATGAGTAGATTACATATCTTATATAGATGTGGCAGCTAACGCAATATACATTATAGGTGAAGACTCTATAAGTATGGAGTGTATAATGTGTACATCTTGCTCTTGAGTGGCTGTCACCTGTATATGCTTGTGCAACCTCTGTCTCAAAAGAAAATAACCTGGTTGTTAGTAATGGAAAGAAGAGGTCGCTAAAGCAAAAGTTAGAAAAAAACAGCAAGAGACATCATCCAACCCCAGTAGTGCATTAATCTATTTGAGATTGAGAAGCATCACATACCGATTCATCAGTTCATAGTAGATGCACTCTAGTTGTAGGAGGGGATATTGTCACCCTCCTTTGTTTTTTTTTTGCTTTGATGGATGTGCATCAAATAATGTAGTACTGATCTTCATTGATAAAATTTGTGCCTGGACATGACCTTGATGATGTAGGAATAGGAACTGTGACGACGATAACGGTAGGCTTTCTATGAATCAGCATCTGAGTAAGAATACGAAGTATTAACATAAGAGTCAAATGTCTATGCCTGATAAATAGATTGTTAGTCCATTGTGTTCTGAATCATAGCGACAATGGCCTGTAATAAACAGAAGTGACAGTAATATAAGTGCATAGCTAGTGAACAAAACAGTAGAAAGTGGCATAGTCCATGTTCCTGTCTATGCGATTATCAATTTATATTATAAGGAGACAAATAGACAAAGATTAGCTGTGATTTTGCAAAAATGATTAGTGCTTTGGTAAGCGAGTGTGATGGCAACGATATCAAAAAAGCTACAGGCCGATTGCTGGAGGCTGAGTATTCCTTAGAGATCGAAGAACTAAACCCAGCCTCAGCATGATACTGTACACTACAATTTGTCTCTAGTTTTAGAACAAATCCGAGAACTTATTACACAATTTTGTTCTGGCATGGCACAATGAATTACAAAAATATTAGAACCTGCCACACCACGTTTGAGCATTAGGAGCACAATTGAATCACACAATGGAAGTGCCACAGTTCAGTACAGTCTCACCATTTATCCTTTTGGGCGTAGCTGGTTGTCGTCCCTCAACAATTCCTTGATGACCGCAATAAATCTACGTGTCTATAAAGCAAAAGGAAAAAGATATTTAAATGCGAGGAATCTTCGTGGTTGTAAAACTTTTGTGCTAGAAGATATCACTTGATGGACTGTAAGACAATGTTCCAGAATTTAGTATTACAAAAACCAACAAAGTAGCAACACGTGTCTTAACCCACCTAGCGCACTGTGAAAGATAGATAGGAACTGTTACTAATGTGATAGATTAGATTTTGTAGCTAGATTATTTCGTCGACAAACAATACCTATGCCCAAAGGGGAAAACCCCATACCTTGCTATCGACCTGTATCGGAGCATTGCTCCCAAACCTTGCTGTCGGCCTGCATTTGGGTCGCTGGTCCTTGATTGCCTGTATCCACTGCATGCACGTGTGTCTGTCTCCATTGTTTCACGGAGGGGAGGGGATAGCCGCCACGAGCAGCAAGCAATGACAACCATTGTGACCACTGGGAACGCCTTGACAACCAGCAATGAAGTGCTTGCCCGTCTTGAGTGCCACCATGGCAAGCTACTACCATGTGAGGCGGGCAGTCTTGAAAAGCCGGCTCACGGCAATCAAGTCACAAACCAAGCCTAGATACCCTCGGGGAGCTCAAACACCAAAGCTGTCATCAGTGTGCTTTCGCTAGGAAGTAGCCATAGATCCGAAGCATTATACTATGCAACAACTGTGCTAAAGCAACATGGCTGGAGAATTAATTTCATAGGTCAAGAAACATTGGATTACAGCATATGCACATTTAAGATATTTTTCACCATTAGGTCTTACTACTTATATCAAAGACCAACATATTCTTAGTAATGATGAGGACTGTGAAACGGATTATATGAGAGAACTATGAAACAACAAATCTTGCAGAAAAAAGAGGAACTATCAAAATAATCAGAACCCATGTTTCCGGGTCTATGCAGATTAGACTAATTAGGAAGCCAATAACTAATAATGGCCATCTTATTCAAAATAGTGGCATAACTATTCAAAATTAGTGTTAAGACCAAATATGATCAGATAGAAATAGAAGGAACAGCATGGCCAACTCCATTCAGAAATAGAAAGAGAGCTCGGTTCATTGAAAAATCAGAGTAGTCATACCCAGAAACATCGTAGAGTCATAATGGCAGCAGAGGCGTTCTATGCAAAACCTGAAGGAGGGCTGGTGCAAGAATTGAAGTCGCTAGCTTCTGTGAATTTTTTTTCTTTTTTGTTTGTTTATAGTATAAATCTGAAGCTATTTTGTACATGAACATAAAAGATGTGACAAAAAATCATACGTGTTGCACAGTATAGGTGGTAAGATAAAACTGAAACTCATGCATGAACAGTGTCATCACGATAGGCCTCCAAACCAAATGCTATTAGCATCCACCGGTGAGAAACAGTCAATCACAGAACAATAAGGTCTACTGCAAATGGAGAGAATCACTTGAACTAAACAACAGGGAGGGACGAGCTGATTCAAGTATTCAAGACCCGGCCACGAGTCCCAACATATGAGCAGAGCAGTTTACTATATTGAAAAAAATGAACACATGCTAGATCTGATCTTAGAATGATCCCAAGTTTTAAGCTGAACAAAATGACAACTGAAAAAGAATCTCAACTGAATAAATCCAATAGATAATCCATTTTTCGTTTCTCCATTTCCAGCTGCTTCCCTCATCGACGACGACAGACAAATGACAAGTTGCATTCTTCTCCTCGGCATGGAAGTTCTAAGATGTCATCCCCATTATTTTATATGTATTCTAGTTAAGATATAAGAAAAAAAAATCATAACACACAATAAAAAAGAATATTAAGCCCTCCCTGTCATTGCTTTCGAAGGTGTTAAAATCATATTATCAAGGAATAAAAACTGTGCAGGCAGATGATAGCTCATGAATACCATTTTCTATACTCTAAAAGAGCAGAAAAAGCTGTACTGCAATTTAGCATATGAAGAAGAAAACGTTCGATTTATTTCTTGTGCAGTGATTTGGAAATCACTTACAGTGTCCATGACAATCAAGTTCAGGCTTCAGTAAGGATGTATGGCTGCTGCTACTTAACAAAAATTGGGATTGTTTCATTCAATGCACTGAGCAAAGATAGTATTGGTTGTTCATGTTAAGCAGTGCAGGAATAACCAACTTCATGGGTTTTCGGTAACACATTCTTTCACAGCCTATAGCCACCGGAAAGGAGCTTATTTAGTCACGGTACAACAAATACTCAAGAGTGGACAGACGGTGAAACGAAGCAAACAATAAGGTCTCTAGAGTCAATACCGATGGCTCCAGAGTTAGTCTTCTTCAAAAAGTGCTCTTCCGCGTGCAGAAACGCACTGATGAGGCTCTCGTATCCTTGCCATTTTTCAGCTGTCACAGAACAAATCGACCTATCCAAAGGAGATGATGATGAGGTTCGCAGAGGTAGCTAGCTTACCGATGATGAGGAGGAAGCTGGAGACCGAGGTGCATGGAAGTGCCGGTGCGGCCGAATGCGTCACCCCCTACTTGCCACCACCGGCAGCTGCGACCGCCCACGGCCCACCCCGCGCCGGAGACCGAGGTCACGCAGCAGCCATGGCTACCAACCGAGAACTCCAGCAGTAGCGGCTCATTCATCCCACAGGCGGATGTGGCAGTGGAGGAACTGATAGGGATCTAGCCGCCTCTGCGCTGCGCCTCTACCCGCAAGAGGAGATCACACGCCGTCTCCAGATCTGGCCAGGGGCTTGACGAATCCTGCCACGGGGGCACCGGATCCAGTCCCGGCGGCGCCAGATCTGAGCCCTCGCCTACCAAAACCGATACAGGGAGCACGGGCGCCAGATCTTTTCGCACATAAGGGAGAGCAGGGAAGGGGTGGGCATACCCTGGTTAACCACCTGCGCCGCCGGGATGCCGCGCACGGACGCGTGCGCCACCTTCAGTACCGGGACGCCATGGCACCTCACGGTGGTCGGCTTTGGTGGCGCTGACGAGCTGGAAGGCGAGCCCGGTGTCCTGGCCGAGGATATGGTGGATGCTGTCGAGGAGCGACGCCTGGAAGTGGCCCAAGCTGAGCGCGTCCTTCTTCACCAGCACCACGGTGCCCCCGATCTAGCCCTCCAACACCGTGGACGCCGCGTCGCCTCACGGTGGTCAAAGGCATGCAGCATGGCCAAGCGGGGAGTCACGGAGGGGAGGGGAGCGATGCCGCGATTGCAAGGGGAGTGACGAGCAGGGAGGAGACCGAGGCAGCCACGGATGGTGATCGCGGGATCAACGTAGGAAAGATGCCGCGATTTCATACTGGGCGAGGCAGGCAGGATGCTGCGGCAATCTTTCCTAATAGGCAATTTTCCTAATAGGCAATCGATCGCGGGATCTTCGCGGTCCCACCTGGCGGCGTAGGAAGTCGCGTGGGGGTGCCGTTCGCATGAGGCGGCAGACGGACGGACCAATTTTTGTCGCACCAAAACGTGTCCATCTTTTAGTCTTTTTAGTTGTTAGAGAAAAAAGCTTAGGAAAAGATCCACAACTTGAGGTAGCCTAGCAAATAGAGTATACTAGCAAAAATCCCGGGCGTTGCTGCGGGTGCAACAGAGCAAAGCAAGCCGTGTGTCAAAATTGCAGATAGATTTATTTGACAATTGGCTGAGAACAATATGATTCAAACAATGGCATGGTAAGGTCGAAAAGATGAATAGATGGATGCAAGATTGGTCATTACATATATTGAAATGCTACTGATAAGTGGCCAACGCCAAGTTCAATCTGGGTGCTGAGATCATTGAAAGCCGATTAATTTGGGAGTAAGTAACGTAATCTGGAATGACAAATAACTTGAGATATTGTAAACTAATGTTGATTCCACCCTATTGTGTCTGCTATCTTGGTGTCCTTTTGAAGCTGTTGGTGCTTCCCTGATGCATCAACCAATGTAAGGAAGACATTTTCTTTTTGCTGTTTTGAAGCTGTTGGAGCTTCCCTGATGCATCAACCAATGTAAGGAAGACATTTTCTTTTTGCTGTTTAGTAGTGGCCTCCCAACAATAGTGCTACATCTAGGGAGATGAATGACCTTCAATTATAAAGAGGTTAGACAGGGTAAGCAGTGAGATAATTTTCCCTCTTGTTTTATTATTGGTATCATGTAAGAAGAAATAGCATATCTCCTTTTTAGAAGCCCGAAAGTCCTGACTTCATTTTTCTGCTGGCTTTTGATAACAGGGGCACTGGAAGACTGCATACATGCCAAAAATACATGTGGACTAACCTCCAGATTTACAGGTAATTATGCCACCTGAGGGTGAGGCACCTGCAGATTAATTCAAGAGGCATACTCAGCAGTTTGGTTGGCGATTGCAGAAAGATTAGCAACTGCTTTAGCATATAGGATATTACCATAGGCATAAAAGCAAGAGAGTAGCAGGTAGCGCGTGGTAGGAAAACAAAGAGTGGCATGCTCTGTGCTTGTTAATTCTGAACCAAAACCATAAGTCTATGCAAACAAATGTAAAACAAATACCATGTAATTAGACCAGGGTTATCAACTCTGTTTTTTTAGCATGCATGTAAAAAAATGAAAATTTGAATCAATCAAGCATCTATGTTATCAGGATTAGAGAGCAAAACTAGAAAGCAACGCGCGGCGTTGCCGCACGCCTGCGTGGAGTACCTACCATTTTGATCCAGTTTGGTTGTGCATTTATGTTACCCGGACCTGTTGGTTGCTTCTTTTTTACGACGATGCATAATTTGGGGATTTGGCTACCGTAGAATTCGTTGATTGTCTATAGGCTAAGGATTGTAATAGAATAGCCATTAGGTAGTTCGCCATGGAAGGACATTAGAGGATGTTGCCGATTGTACTGATAAATCATCATATATTTTTCTGAACTAAAACAAATTTTGTATGAATTTTGCAATATTAAATGATATCTTAGGGTTTTTATTTAATTGTATAAATTCTCTAGGGAAAAAAATATGTGGATAACGTTTAGCAAAATATATTTTCATAACTTTTTGGTAAATAAAGTCTATTTGACCCTCGAACTATCAATGTAGTTCATTTTATCTCATGACTGATGTGGTGCCACGTAGGTAAAAAAGAAGAAAAGAAAAGTGGTAATAATTTTATATAGAGACATAAATGTTGATACAATTTTATAAAAACTTGGTCTATGTTAAGAAAATTTGACTTAATTTAAACCTAGAGTTATACTCTTTTGGGATGAAGGGATTAGGGGCAGCAGGTAACTAAATATGTACCTGTTGATATAGTGATTTGCTTAAAAATATGCAGCAACACTGCAAGATGATAATGTTTCCAGCTTGATGTCAGTTACGTAGGTCCTACTTAGTTAGCATATTTTTAGCTTGAGCAATCGGAATAACTAAGAACTTATAATTTAAATGATTAAATAATAAATGATCGAGTTTACATGGACCTTGTACCTGCTGAAGGGGGTCACTCCTATGTAGAAGGAAGAGGTGCTAGATTGTAAGGTTCACACACACACATATATATATATATATATATATATATATATATATATATATATATATATATGTGTGTGTGTGACACAAGCTAACTAATGAACATATATGATTCTATAGTTTTTTGCAAGGTTGACTTAAACAAATAGGGAATATGGCATCTTCATTATTCTTAGAAGACCTTCAGCATACTTACAACAACATAGCCTTTCAGTCACAAGCAAGTTGGGGTAGGCTAGAGTTGAAACCCACCAAGAGCCCCAAGTCACAAAAGTCAAAATTGTAGGTCACTTATATTGAACATCTTTGAGAGATGCTGAAAATAGTCTTTATGTTATCCAGCTATATTTATTGTAGTTTGATAAATGTATTTTAGCAATAGGATATATTATTGTATCTGGATGCTGGAAAAAGCCTGAAGGAGATGATGAAAGCATATCTCAGAAATTCATCAATTGTAGATTTTCTGAAAGCATATTTCAACATAAGAATACAGGGTAGAACTATAGGAATAAGATATATCCGAGGTCTAACATGAAGACTGCAATTTTGGGCATGCAAAGATGGCTTTATTCAGAGCATTTGTAGCACAAGCTATTCTTTAGCTACACATCTAGATACTTGATCTATTTTCAGCAACATCTATACATAATTCACTGCTAGTAGGTAGTAACTTATCATAAAGCAGCCATCTTGCACACTAAGGTAAAATTGTCAGATGGAGTCCCTTCCTCAATATGGAGTGCTTTTGTATAGAAGAGAAGCGAGGAACAGAGTTGTCAGAGTAAAGGATAGATCAATGAAGAAATGATTTTGCATGAGCACACCTTGGCATAAGAACTCCATAAAAAGGGCGTACCCAGTGCAGAAAGCTCCCGCTCTGTGCGGGGTCTGGGGAAGGGTGTTAGTGGCAAGCCTTACCCTCGCATGTGCAATACGAGGAGACCGCGACTCGAACCCGAGACCTTCCGGTCACAGGCGGTAAGACTCTACCGCTTGCACCAGGCCCGCCCTTCTGGCATAAGAACTCCATCTGTACACGAATTTATACATGCAGGTGCGATGGAGCAGTGCTCATCATATGGTGAGCTGATCAAAATTATCTTAGATTAAGAGTATACACAGGCACATAATTTTTCACTTTGGGGAACTAACGTAGCAATGTCAAATATCTATAGGAAGCATACTTGAACAAATAAAGATGTCATGTACCAAAAGGCAAGAAAATGTTCATACCTGTATGTCTGCAAGTTTCAGCGGTTTGGCATTTTCACAGACACACAGTGGGCGCTGCGTTATCGCCGGATAAATGATGCAGCGGTGGAAACAAACAAATATTCTAACTATGAAATGTGATGGCGTGATGTTTGCATAGGCAATAAAAAGGGGGCTTTGCAAGCTTGTTTGGAGAAGGCCACAAGAAGATACAGCAATCATTGATTGCTTTCCGTCTTTAATTATTTCCAGCCAATCTAATATAATGGACTTGGTATATAGTTGTTGAAAAGAATATCAATGAAATTTAGAGGCCATGTCTTGGAGATTCGAAGTACCTCTGTACTATTGTAGTATAGCTACTTGGTTTGTTGACAAAGCCGCCGCCGCCACCGCTGCGCTTCTCCTGAAGGGCGACAAATCGCCTCCAGCCGCCGGCTTCGGTATCGGCTCTGGCTTCGCGCTTGCCATCTCGCTTCTGTCAGAAGAAGGCTTGGGCCCGGCGGGATGGGCACTGCGAACCCATTGGCGCGCCGCTTCGCCGTTGCGTCGCACCCGCGCCGTGCGGCTTTCTCCTCCTGGCATTTCAACGAACACATGGTGGGTGTTCTTGTTCATATCGAAACGACAGCGGCCAGGACCGAGTCCAGGCCTTCTTCTCAGTGGCGGCGGTGCCCGCGCGCCTGCTGTGCGCCTGGCAGCGGTGAAAGCTCCCGCACGCGCCTGGCTGGCGGCGGCGGCGAAGTCTGCACGCGCCAGGCCAGCGGCGGTGGAACCTGCACGCGCCAGGCCCGAGGTGGCTCCTGACAGGCGGCGGCGGAGCTCGCATGTGCCAGACCAGCGGCCTCGGCCGCCCTGGCGTGGAGGAGAGGGGCGCGGGCACGATGTTTCCGGCCACCCCGGCGCGTGTTGGGGGCTCGGGCACGGCAGGAGGTCAGCGGAGCCGGCGAAACAGACGTGCGCTTTCCTGATGGTTCTCGAACGCCCGTGCAGGCGGCGTAATGGGTGAAACCCGAGCCGATCCGCAATCGGACGGCCCGTATCATGAGTTCGCTTGATCCAACGGCTCGCGGGTTATCGGATGACGTGGATAGCGGGTCTGCCCGAACCTTGGCTCCGGATTAGAGATATAGAGATAACCACAAAAAGTAAATCATATTTGATCTGAGCTCAATGGAAGCACAGGTGTGTCATAAAGGAGTGCAGCATGTTCCAAATTCGAGCATGCTGTAGTTGACACGTTAATGTAAGCATAACTCAGTCTTATATGAGTAATCCTGTACGGGATAAGCCATTAGGAATGGTAAAGCCAATGGACTGATAAGACAACATATGCAGTCACGAAAGAACAACGCTGAGTAATGAACATGTTTTTGATAATTATTCTGCATCAGTGACTACATGATGAGAAATATTATAGTTTGTTAAGGAACACTCAGTTCTGTTATGTTAACAGGAAATCAAACTTGCAGGCTAGGTGGGTCCATGTGGCCCTTGGCAGCTTTACTGACCATACTCTCAAATGAAGCACAGTTAGGCCAAGCAGGGAGACGCAAACTTTACCTCTTTAATAAGTGCGGGACAATTTGTGTTCTTAGATGAGGTAATGTTCTGCTTCAAATGAGTTATAGATGTCAAGGACTGCAGCCTACTCAAATGAACCATGAATATAAAATTGTCAAGTATTAGGATGGTAAAACCCCTGGAAACAGTTGTAACATAGCAAGATAGAATATAGAACAACGTATCTCCTGACTGCATACGAAGTTACCAAAAAGTTCAGGGAAGTCAGAGAGAGAGGGAGAGATCGGTGCGGGACCTGCGGCAAGGCGCTTTGATTGTTCCAGGCGGCCACTGCTCCAGTGGTGCAGCCACCAGCGGAGGGTCGGTGGTGCCGAACATTGAGCGGGGGAGTGCGACTCCAGCGAGGGCTACAGGTACCCTCACCGGCGATGGCAGGGGAAGCGCGAGACGGCAGCACCTGCGGGACGGGGCTTCCACCCTGCGGCACGGCGGGCAGGCCGTTGAGCCTGCGAGGCAACGGCACGGAGCGGATGCTGGAGCGGCGGAGAGGACAGTGGCGCTAGGGTTTGGGCAGGGCAGGTGCGAGGTCCGCTGCAGGCGCCATTTGAGGAGGGGCGTGCACAGCCTGCGCTGCGGGCCTGCGGCTGCAAGGCGGCGACGCGTAGGGCAGGCGTGGGCGCAGGCGCGGGATCCTGCGAGGCTCCTAGAAGGCGCGGGTGGAGGCTGGCAGAAGCTGCGGGTGACGGCGGAGGAAGGGTGAAGGGATCGATGGGGGCCCAGGGGAAGGAAGTTGCTGGAAGGTGGTGTGGTGTTCGTTGATTGTGGATCGAAGGGTCAGGAATAGCAGGCGACGTGGCTTCGCGAGGAAACAAAAAATGGTGTACAACTTTAAGGGTAACTAGCCACTATGCCCGCGCTTCGCTGCGGGTGATCTGCTTGATATATCAAACCTTGGGGATCATGTATACGTGTTACTCGAAAGTATCCCCACGGAAGCTATAGCTGATTAATTTTTTCCACTACCATGTCATGGAAGATGATCTTCTTGGTATATATCAAATCTTAGGGATCATATGTATGTTGTACTAAAAAATATCTCAATAGAAGCTAATATGTATTTTCCAGTATGATGTTATTTAAGGGCGATAGAGTTTGGCATCCATTACACAATATCTATTCTAGGTCACTAAATAAAATCACTGGCATATTGGTGTAGAGAAATGGCATATTGGCATAGAGAAATGTTTGCTCAAGTGGAATTCAAACAACCAACATCACTAAATTCAAAGCACAACACCATGTGGGATTACATTATAGGTGGAAATAATAAACACTACAACGAGGGTTCTTGAGGGGCCCATGTCTCTACTTAGATCATTCTTCGTAGCTTGAGAAATCTTCTGGAGGATGGAAGGAGGCGGATGCCATCTCCTGGTGGTGCTGAGTCGTGGGGGAGAATCTCTTCTCCATCGATTGACCTGTCTTGGAAATTCCATGGGAGGCCTCGGTTGGTGGAGGCGCGGCGGCGTGTCCACAATCTTTCCTTGGATTTCTTCCATGGTTGCAAACCGGGATTCCATCTAGTATTAGGCATTCTCTCCTTCCGAACAAGGGTCCTTCTCTTGGCCCTAGTGACAAGGTAGATATTCTTCAATTGCCGAGTGTGGCGGTCTTGGCTGTTTGAAGGCTTCAATTGTTGTAGCCTCACGGCTCTCCGCTCTAGTCGCACTGCGCCTTAGCCTCCGCAAGCTGCACTTGCGGTTTTCTTATTTGGTTCTCGGCCTCCTCTTGCCCTTAGAATGCACTTCTTCAAATGGGTGGCATGCCTATCATATTGCTTATCTAGGGAAAGTAGGTAGGTAGACATGAACACCGTAGTTGGGTCACTTTCACGTAATTCAGGGGCCTTGAGGGTCCTCATTCTGACTACCCACACAGGATCTGCCTCTTGTTAAAGGGGGAAGAATCTCATGGGTGTACGACATATTGGCCTCTCATAAATCGCATAGGTACCTCAAAGCTTTATGACGACAGATTGGTAAGTGTCCTCGAACCGAAAAACCCTATAGTAGAAACCACCCACGGCCCTATGTTGGGGAAATCTTTACTTCCTCCAACATAGATGATGACCTCGCACCCGCTTCTGTGCCATACTCCTCATATTCTCTACCTACATACTGGGTGATCCAAAAGACCTATCCCGGACATGGTGGCATATAGGAGCTTGGGAAAACCATCTTTGTTCAAGCAAGAGCTAGTGGTCCACTCTTCATCCGCCATCTACAAGGAAAAGGAGGGCAAGTCATTTTTGTAATATATAGGAGAGGGTAAGATTTCATAAAGATGGTCATGGTTTTCTCACCTTGATAAGGACACCGCGCGAAGAGGAAGGCAGCAGGCCAGCTCGATTCCTATAGGAGAGCAGAGAAATGGGGAGAGAGGGATGATACTCGATGGGAAGGAAATTGAGCTAGGATGTGTTACCTCTTGAGATATGGAAGACCTCTGAGGTACCTAATTTTATAGCTAGAAGGATGGAGTTGTATCCAAAGCAGCGCAAAGAACCGCATTTAATGCGAAAGCGATCGTGGCGTCGACACGGGTGATGTCGTGTAGTGCCAAGGGCGGTGGTGGTGGTGACATTGTGGCGATGGTTGTTGGGCACTTCAAGGCGCCTCCATTATTTCCGGGCACACGGGTGCCTTTGCATAGTTCCTATGGATGCACGCCTAAACAATGGTAGGCACACACGACATGAACGATGGTGAGGTAACACTGTGGCAGCAGTTGTTGCCTGGTTAAGGGTCATTCTCCATTATTCACGGGCATGCGCGTGCCTTTGTGCAGGTTGTGTGGGAGCGTGCCAAAATAGTGGTAGGCATAACACGAGCACACAAAGACAACAAAACTAGGCACAATGTTACCTACAATGGAGCATGTCCCTTAAATGTCCAAAGAATGAAATCATCAGAACGGACAAAGTAACCTACAATTAGAGATGATAACAAGAGATCTAGCAAGCAAGAGTATGAAAGAAATGGAAAAGAGATGGTCATGACGTCCTCGAACTGATTATAGGCAGAACATGACTTTTGCACAAATACATGAGAGGATGGGAAAGTAAAGAAATATATGCAGGCACCTGACACTTCAGCTTCTCCTTTGCCGGGTTGCCTCTTCTTTGATTGTCTAGAGGAAGTTCCTTCCATTCGCCACACCTGTGGACCTATGGATTTGTCCACATACATATGATACATATTATATTGTACTCATACATCTTTGTATTACGTTACTACATACATGTGCATAATTAAGTTTTTCTGCGGAGTGTATCCATGGTAGTACATAAGTAGTTATAGGAATGCCTGCTAGTGTACATTGTTTAGTTTGCCAGACCTAGGTTATCAACGCTCACAGCACTTACCCCCATCCCCTCTTCTTGCCCGACCACACCATCGACTCTTCATATACATGGGCTGGTCGACCTAGGGTTTAAAGGGCAAGAAGCACTTTCCCCTCTACCACTCCACCCCATCCCCCCTCACCTCTGCAGGATCAAACTACATCTCATAGTAGATGATGTCGATTAAACCGGTGGTAATCATGGGTGCCACCAGCACATGTGCAAGACGAAGTTATCAATTGACATATCCAAGGTGATTGGTGGTGAAGTGATAAATGCGGACAAGATGCAAATATATGCTGGTCTTGACATCGCAACTAACAAGATCCGGCCGAATGATCAAGGTGGTATTCCTCATCACTTAATTGGGGTTATTTCATCAATTGCGGATGATGTGTCTGTACCTTCCTTTCGATCTATTGCAACAACTACCTGCGGAGTCTATTGCAAGGCGTGGTCGAGTTCCGATTACGGTAGGTGGGTCAAACTCACTTATGCATGGATTTCTTGTGACCACCTTGATCCCTCCCTTGCCAATCCTTTTTTCGATACCAAAGTATAAGCCAAATTTAAGGTTCAAAAGTTGTCTACTTTGGGTCCATACGCATGAGCTGGTTCTTAATGAGTATCCGTGTCGCCGTATTGATGATATGGTTGCTTCGGCTTAGTTGAGGAACTAAAAGAGTATTTTGATACTACGTCGGCTCATAAGATTGGCAACCACACTTTGGGTCAAGCTAAGGCAATTGGTGTGCGAGAACTAAGCAAATATTTTGGTGGAGGCATGAGTCTTTCTCGATTCCATAGATGAGATGAAAGCAAATACAAAAGCCCTTGCAAAATCACAGACTACAAAGATTCGCCATATCACCGGTGTTTGGGGGTGGCCTGTGTGTGTGGTGGACTCTCTGAAGCCATACACGCTGCCATCTAAGTGGAGGAGACCATAGTACGGAGGACATATCATGGGAACGCTGATGTGAGTTCTCCCCGCAATTGCTATTGTGGATAAGTTTTACATATAGCTAACATGCCAACGCGGCTATCCATGTGAGTTCTTGTAAGTAATTAAATAAATCCAATTGAACTATCTTTTAATATACGCTGGTGGTACCATGTTAGCTATAGTATGGGTTATTATTTCCATGACTCGAAAATGTATTGATATTTGATCCGAAAAACCTTCCACTTATTATCGCTTGTAGCATGGATGTTAATGGCAATGCTTCATATGGTTATTTGCATATTAGTACCATATACTCCTTTATTCATTGAAAATCGAAGGACCCAACTCTATAACACCCTTTCTTCTACCTTGTTGTACGATGCATTGATAGATTCCCCTCTAATTTATAAATAACCCTCATTTAGAATGAACTAATGGAAACGAAGAAGCATGGAAATGCAAAGGACGTGTACCTAGGTGACAGGTAAAGGAAAGGGACTCAAAAGCTGATCTGCAAGTAAAAACATGCATGATCGAAAGCGTATGAGGATCTTGTTGATCGCTACTTTTATCAAGATGCTCGACACGAAGAAGCAAGAAGAGCATCGATTCTCGCAACACATGTGGTGGCCTACCTTCCGCATGCTTGCGATACACGCTAGATAGCGATCTCGTATGCATGCATGTTGGTAGCCAATCTGACGCATGCATACATCCTAGAAGCACGCCACTATCTTGCTCCTCCATACTGCTGGAAAAGCTAGATACTCCTACAATCCTATGGATGTCCCTGGTGTTGACCAAACGCATAGGTACGAACTATCAGAAAAAGCTAGTATTGTATGGTTATCTCTTATCCGTAGATGATTTGTCATCTAAGGCAACACGACGCAAAGAGAGTGAATTTTTTTTACTTTCACACATGCACATGTCTTACAAAAATAAGTACCTTTTTATCAAGGAAACAAGGTTTAACCTTCAGTTTGAAAGCTCGAGTAGTAACTATAGCAGTTCTAGCATTAAGTTTCTACCTTTGCCATCAAATCCTCTCTCACCAACGGTCGGTAAGATAACTATAGCATTAAGTTCTACCTTTGCCATCCAATCCTTCAGTTCTAGCATTAACTATAGCAGTTCTAGCATTAAGTAACTATAGGTCACTGCAATGTATATTGTGTTTGGGGCACGAAGGTAGCTTCCTCTTCTTCCTCCTCTCACACGGTCGGGCGGTCACCATAGGCCATAGTGTGCTGCGACTCACGTGTCGATATTCAAGGATTAGGAGTGTGTGCGTAATGCGTATGTGCCATCGTGGTCATGTGCCAAACATCATACATACATGACCGCACTCAAGCAAAGTCTGGGTGGGTTGTCACAAGACCACGGCTATACCTCGTCTTGGGATCCCAGT